TCTCTCTCTCTCTCTCTCTCTCTCTCTCTCTCTCTCTCTCTCGCACCGTCACCTCTCATTGGCCAGTGTTTTTCGTTAATAACTCGTAAACAAAGCCGCGGATTGCATTTTCGCAAAGGAAAAAGTTACTTCAAATGACCTCAGCTACCCGTCATTTTCGGCTGTTAAAATAATTGTGGAACACCCTGTATATTAATTTATGTATTCTTTTTTCAGCGACATTTCGAAAACCTCGTGGGAGTCGTTAGTGCTACCGTTGGAAGTTATTTCACTGTTGACAAAATTAGTAACAATAGTACCGTCCGAATTAACCAACGAACAATGGAACTTTATTTTAATATCATTAGCCCTGTGGCAACTTTCCATTGGCAAATCGAAGTCGCACATTAGTGATATTAAGGTTTTAATCAAATAATTCAAACTAGTAAAAAATTTCTGTACACAAATTTCTAATATACATAAATTGTCCTTCCTTTAGGTAGATGCGCTGACAGTCTATACTTGTCAGCTGTATCATGCTGTGCAAAATGCAATTAACAATCACGATCAAGTACCTTCAACGTTACTGGACGAGTGGAATAATGTACTCGCAGGCGATATCCAAAGTGCAATTGCTCAAACCTGGATGTCTTATGCAGGTAATATACAACTAATAAACGTTAGCAATACGAACTTTCTAATCGTAAAATTACCCACAGAATGGCATAATGAAAGAAAAACAGATTTGAGATGCGTCGTAGTGCTGGATCGCATAGGAAAAGCGGTAACTGCTTTGAATGGAAACGTACTGCTAAAAAATCAGGCAATCACGTCCCCAGCCATCGCTGTCGATTTAAAGAAAACAGTACAACTATGTCTGAAACTGTTACAGTCACCTATAACCAGTATTCAATTAGGTGCATACCATTTACTGAAACATACTGTCTCAGAATTGGTGGAACAGGACAAAGTTACTGTCGAGTTAGAAAATTTTGATGTAAATAACCTAAATATTAAGAAAATGGAGGAAGTGCTTAGGAATACGCAGAATATTGTCAATACCATCTTAATGGAATTCAAGTAAGCATTGCCTGATAAGCTATTAAATTATCCTATTCCCTGATACTAATTTCTTCTATTTGCAGATTATGTGACACAGTCAGCTGTACTATACAACCTTATACAGACTCTTATACGTACACTGTGGGCTATTTACTGTTGTGGGCAATTATTTTGGACATGTGTGCTAATGCTCATGGGGATCTACTTTATCAGTACGCTGAAGCTCTCAAGTAAATACTATTTAACTATTCCTGAATTATTATTATTATTATTATTATTATTATTATTATTACATGGCTGGCTGACTTTATTAATTTTTATTCCTTTCAGAGATAATTATTTCCCTAGTTTGTTAAATAATATCTTCAGGCTAATGCCAGTGGAAGTTCTTCAGGACAACAAGAATAAAGGTGCAAAGCTAACTGAGATCTTTTCCTTGGAACCATCCCTTGAATTTGGAGGTAACTGTCAGATGATTCTTTCAATTCTAATTAAAAAGGTTTCTGTTACCGACTACAATATGGTTTCTTTACAGAAAGTTGGACAGAATGGAGACTGGATCACATAGTCTGTTGGTTATATAGAAATAGTCTGAGACATTTACCAGTGTTAGTGAGACAGTGGTGGAGCGCGTCCGACAGCAGAGTCAGCGCGGCTGTTGACAAGATTACGACTCACTATGTTAGCCCCATGCTGTGTCATGAACTTCTCAGCAACAAACCACAGAACATAGAGAACATACAAGTGAAGGTGCACCCGGTTTTCCGTGAAGTGATAGCGCTGTATCAAATGAGCGATACTAAATTGGAACTGAACATCACGCTGCCACCGAATCATCCTTTGGAACCGGTCACAGTGGAGCCTGGCCAACACGCGGGTGGCACTGCCAATTGGAGAAACTGTCACATGCAGCTAGCAATATTCCTCACGCATCAAGTATATACATACTTATTTATTAAAAGCTGTAAACGTATTAGTATTTCATTCTCTAACGCGGTATGCTTCTTTTTGTACATAGAATGGATCCGTGTGGGACGGTCTAGCGTTATGGAAGAAAAATTTGGACAAGAAGTTCGCCGGGGTCGAAGAATGCTACATATGCTTCAGTATTTTCCACTCAAGCTCCTACCAAATACCGAAATTATCCTGTCACACGTGCCGCAAGAAGTTTCACACTGCTTGTCTGGTAAGTATTTATATTTTCTTTTAAATTCAATTCACTCTGTAAAATTAACATCCAAAATTAACATTAATCTTTTTGTTACAGTACAAATGGTTTAGTACCAGTCAGAAGGCAACCTGTCCAATATGCAGGAACGTGTTTTAGTTAGCTTGAATTATTTAAAGAAGAAACTTTGTACATTTGTTGAAGTCGTTGTTAGATTGCGGATCCTTGAGCATCGATTAATTTAGAAAATAGAAAAATAAGTCGTTACCGATATTACTTATTTGATTCCGGTTATTATAAAATTATTTGCACAGAGATCCGCAGTCTAGCTACCAGACTTGTGTCTATAAGTAAAGAGAACCGACAGTTGGTACTCCGTACGCAAATTTTGCATCGTGTAGATTATATATAATGTAAATTATGTGAAATATAATATATTAATAAACGGGTATTTACAACTTCCTTGCTGTACTTTACATCATTTTGTGTACGTTATTATAAATATCTAAGATATTGAACATTTGACTAATCGGGTCGACGCTTTCAACATACCGACGTAAGAATTATTCGAAAAAATGATGTTATTGACGATCGCTATCTTTCTGGGCGTACACCGCATCAGTTTAAAGAGAAAGTAAACATTACAAAGAACAGATAAGATTAGGACAGCTTTTAATGTGGAGTTCGAACCAGATAAGCAACATTTCTGTCTGTAGAACAGGTACCACAGGTCGCAACATGCCAGGTGAGTTTTAAAACACGTCACCTATCCAATAATTGAGTAAATTAGAAACGCAGTACTGCCTCTTGACATTAACTTTGAAACTTGAGCAAACGTCTTCGAACACTATCAATTTTATTCAAACGGTCCAACTGGACATAACTAATCTGTTCTTTTATTACAATCGATATAATTGTTAAAATCCGACATTGTTAATTACATTTCTGAGAATTAAGAAAGCTAGCGCGATGTCCGATTTCACAATCCGTATCTTGTGCCGGATATTAAGTAAACTATACTTTATTCGACAGTAATTCTCGAGCTTCATTGTAGGATAACAAGACTGCTAATGGATGTCTTCGATAGAATTTGATTAAAAATCAATATCAACTCTGACCAAACTTTAGCAACTGAAAAGGCTATCATACCATAATTTGAAGCAGAAAGGAGGAAGAAAGAAATTTACGACTTTTTATACCGACATAGAATTTCGATGCTAGGGTCTCTGAACGAATCGGTCGATTTTTCCCAAGGTTACAGATGGATCCCCAGAACAAAATCGGACGGTGTGCCCGATAAAGCCGTTGTCGGAGGTCGTGACTGCGATGGAACTACAATCTACGTTGGCAGAGCCTACCACGAAGGTGACATGCTGCCAGCGAAAGTGATCCCCGAGAAGAACGTCGCTTATGTTTGTTACAACGGAGAGGAGCACGCCAAATACGACTACGAAGTAAGCATACCGAAAAATAACCAGACCTTTAAGATCTGTGAAAAAACAGTATCGAAGACAAGGATTTCGATGGGACATTAGCCAGCATTGTTTCGAATACCGCACAGATAGATTGTCATTAGAGTAGATTGCGAGCCTGTGCCTAAGGTCCTTCCTGTTGCGTTTTAATCCCTGATATCCAAGCCGTCTCTCGAGTCGATGGAAAGGGAAACCGATTAAGTTCAAGGCGGACTTGCGGGTAAACTGGCCGGTCCATTGATTTTTCGCAAATAATCGATGCTTGCCCGGTTGGCCAAGCTTGGTCTCGCGGATTTCGTGTCAAGGCAACGGATTTCCATCGCGAAACCGGAAGAACCGCATTAACCCTAGCGGATCCGTTCTCTCAGGCAATTTCTGAACGTCTCGGAGATCGATCGAATGGAAGCAAAGAGGAAGTGTCTAGACAAAAGAAGATCGCCCGAGCCAATTTCAATTGTCGGTTTATTAATAATTCTAAAGTTCCCCGAACGTTATCTCTGTATCGCGAGAGCCCCGCCGTTCTATCGATTCATCGGCGCGATTACCCGGTTGTTGATCAGACACGTCGATAAACGCCTAATCCACAAGCAAATACTGTACTCACTTCTCACGGATATGCTGTTATTTCAATCCGTCGATAGCGATGCGTCGAGATTACAATTTTTCACGAGACTGATTTTTCTGTAGTAAGAAATAAAAGCGGGGAACGTGTGGCATTAGCATGACGATTAGGTGCCGCGGAGAACAATTGTGTACGCACACCGGTGTTCATCCTGATTTATCGGCATCGAGGAATCTCTATTTCCGAGCTGCATAAATTGTCGATTCATTTGCATTCGACAATTTTTCTAACAGTTCTTGCGATGACTCGCGAATTCGTTATCCCCAACACGTTCGTGACGGTAATTGACTGTAAAAGCTGCCGCGTTATCCACGGTTCCCATCGATCGCTCAGAGTCGTCTTTCGGTTCCCACGGATTCTAGATCGCGGGAGGCGAAAAGATGATTACGCCGAATCGGAGACGACCGCGGTAACAGCCGCTGCGGTACCAAAATGGCCGACTTCCGCCTCACGCCCGTTTCGAATTCCTCGATCGCATTTGCAAGATATTCGCGCAGGATTCCGCGAAATTTTCGCGCGCGTGTTCCAATCAAGGATAATGAATGATTTCGTTCGTCTAGGTGTTGCTTCCTACAGAGTTCGGATGGGAATTCGCCAGCAATGGTGACGTGCCCGGTAACGCTGTACAGGCAGGCTATACCGACAGCGGAGAAACGCTATACGTCGGTCGCACTTTCCACAATGGATCGCAAACGATCGGCAAGGTGAGACTTCGATCAATTTTGAAAATTAACATACCGTTCTCGCAGTCAGCCGAAGTCCCACCCCGTCGGGCTGCTTCTGCTACCGCTTTTCATCGGAGGAACGATTTTCTTTGCAGATCCAACCGAGCCACAACTGTCTCTATATTCCCTTCGATGGTGAAGAGCTGTCCTTCCGAGACTACGAGGTCCTGGTCGTCGTCTAACTCCGAGGCACAGCAACTTTACGCATCGACGCACAAGCGAGAACGTTTTCGATACGCGGCACCCTTGAAGCTCGCACGAGCGCTTCACCGATACTGACACGAAATCGGAAACACGTTCGATGGAATCGCAAAACAAACCCGTTTCTTATCTTTGCCGATTAAGTGAAAACAATGTGGCTCGACGCGAAGGCTGAACGTGCCTGCCCGAAAAAGGTCGCGGGTCACGTCTTGATTTATTGTAGGCCATTTCAACAAATAAAGTATCATTGGAACAAAAAAAAAGAGAAGGTATCTGTCATTCAAAAGCCCCACGTAAATACCTGTGGAACGCAATATCCTACGACGTGTTTACTACTTCTCCTATTACCTACGACTACCGTTATTAACCGCCCCTTTATATTTTTCTTTTTTTTTTTTTGCGGTTCGTGAGAATCGGACAGTCACCACTTTTGTCGACGGTGCACGCAATTCTTACGAAACCGTTCGCGGGAAATTGCGATGTAGCCGGTCGATCGTTAAATAATGTTACCCGTGAACGAAAATCTACGATTAAATTGAATATCTAGTCGATCTGCCACGATTACGGGAGTTCGCGTTCGATCGTAATCTCGGCAGATGATTCGAAGAAGGAGATGGTTCCTCTTCGATTCTCGAGGTTTGCAATCGCGACAATTCCAGGGAGCGCGATGAAGAGCTAGGTTCGGTGAAGAAGACCGGTACCAGGTCGAGAATTATACCAGCGTGTCGTGCTCGAACCGGTGTGTTCCGAGTCGGAGATCGAGCGGATGCTTGAGGGAAACATCAAAACAACGGGTCTACCGCGCGGCTCCGGGTCGAATATTTTATAGCGACACTCGAATTGCGAGCATTACTCACTTGACGACGTCATACGATCAACTCGAGAGTCAGGGCCGTAATCGACTGCCACGGATTCCACGGTAGCAGTCCATGGTATCCCCTGAACTCGTCCACTGTCTAGCCCATTTTCGAAAAATGCGGGAACGCGGTTCAAGGACGACGGGAGATTCGAGAACGTCGAAGGGTTCGACGATGTCGAACGGTTCAAGGACAGCGAAATCAGTCGAATGCGAACGAAAACGATGACTCTGAGCAGCGACGATTTTCGCGGAATGCCGGCTCGGCTGGATGATCCAGAGGGAATTCGAAAAAATCCTACGGCGATTGACGATGGTACGAGCCACGGTAATTGGCAATTCGTCGCAATTGGTCCAGCAAACGTTACCAGGCCAGAAAGGTCCGAGCAATCGTCGCTGCCACTTGATGGAATCTTTGATTCGTCGTTCTAGGTGGCCGAGAGGCGCGCTTAGACTGCTCGAGCACACGGCCCTGCCTGAAATAGGCTCCCGGACCGTAGAAGACAAGACGACGGCCGTTGTGATTATTTTATCAACAAATTGCCACATTTAACGCGGCACCTCCGCCAGCCTCTAGCCTACCAGCCTGCCCGTTTCAACGGTGCTGCATGTTTACCCTCGGCACTCGGATCTCCCAGCGACCATTTTTCCGTCCAAATCCTGACCGGAAGCCCGAATCAGCTTCCTCGAAGAAGCAGTCAGCCGGTGCAACTGCTTCTTCGATCGATCCTGCTCTGCTTCTCGTAAAGAACGTCGCGCAGATCGGCCTTAGAATTCGATAGGAAATTCTCTGCCATCTTCGCAGCAAAGTTCTAACCGGAAGTTCGCGTCGAGTTTCTTGGAGAGGCTTCTGGCTATATGTCGCACTTGTTGCAACTGCTTCGTGCTTCGTTCTTCCACGAATGGTTCGTCTGTTCGGTTATCTTATTCGCTGGCGTGCGTCTTCAGCGACGCCGAGTCCTCGGCGATGGCGCGCAGGTTGACCTTGACCCGAAAAGCGTCGTCGAACAGAGCGGAATCGGAAGCTGCTCGCGCGTGGTTGGGCACGGTGACGAGGCGTCTCCCGATTCGGCGACGTTTGCGCCGATCTCGTCCGAGCTGGGTGGTTGTACCCGACGAGAGGGTACGAAGCACGTGGAGAGGGCCCCGAAAGAGGACCAGAGGGGACACGAGCCAGCAGCAAGCAGGGAGCAGGGAGCTGGATGACGGTGGAGGCAGGCAGAAGGCAGGAGGCAGGAGGCAGCAGGCCTGGAGGTGGCGAGGAAGAGGAAGGGAAGGAGGCAACACGCGTCTCGTAATGCACAATGGTGCATTAGCCAGGAGTAGACGGTCAGACGGTCTCTCCCGCGGACCGGCTGAAACGGAACCAAGCGGTTCCAGCACAGTAGACCAGATCCGAAAGGACCGAGCCGAACATCGTACAGCCGAAACAGTTCTAAGGGAACAAATCCCGACATCTCCGAGCGTTCTTCCGCATTGGTCCGCATGAGTCGTGGTTTGATGAGTCTCGAACAGGCTCGGGAACCAGCACGAGACCTCTCAGAGCTACCGAAGAGATCGTCCGAGCCACCGATGCCACAGTGACGGAGACGGGACCGCCTGCAACAGAGAATCTGCGTCAAAAATCGAAAGTTAGCGGTATCGGGGGTGCGAAGGAAGGTAGCGAAGGGAGTATGGCTGACGCGGCAGCAAACAACCAGGTAGTAGCAGCCACGAAGAAGAAGGAGGAATTGATCGTGGAACAATCGGTGGTATGGAAGTCGATGACGGTGCGGCAAAAGTGGGCCTACTTCACCAGCAGCATCACCGTGGAGCCGGTGATGGCCTGCTACGTGATCCCCTGCATGCTGGCGTCCCTGGCCACCCAGAATCTCAGCCTGGAGAAGGCCTGCAGAGTGAACCTTGCCTACTCGGACGAAGTCTGCAACGCCCTGGCCAACAGAAACACCACCGGCTACGAAGCCGAAGAGACGGCGGTCCAGCAGCTGGTCGCCGGCATGCAGACCTGGAAGATGGCCCTGACCAGCGGTCTGCCGACCATCCTGATCCTCTTCATGGGCGCCTGGAGCGACCGGACCGGCCTTCGGAAGCCGTGCATGCTGCTGCCGATCGTCGGCGAGTTCCTCAGCAGCGTCAGCATGCTGCTCTGCACGTACTTCTTCTACGAGGTACCCATGGAGGTCACCGCCATCTTCGAGGCTCTCTGGCCGGCTCTGACCGGCGGCTGGTTCACCATGTTCATGGGCGTCTTCAGCTACATCGCGGACATCACCACCGTCGAGTCCAGAACCCTGAGGATCGGCGCAGCGAACGTGTTCATCTCGCTCGGCATCCCGATCGGCATGGCTCTCAGCGGTATACTGTACATGAAGCTCGGGTTCTACGGTGTCTTCAGCATCTCCACCGTGTGCTACATGCTCAGCTTCATCTACGGCCTGGTGGTGATCAAGGAGCCGCCCAAACTTCACCTGAAACAGAAGAAGCCCGGTCAGAAGAAGATGTCCGTTTGCAAGTCGATCCTCAACTTCTTCGCGTTCAAACACATCGAGGAGACGTTCAAGGTCGCGTTCAAGAAGGGCAAGCACAACAGGCAGAAGAGGGTGCTTGTGCTCATGATGATCGTCATGGTCGTCATCGGTCCCGTGTACGGTGAGTCTGTGACCGCTTCTCGAGCCGGTGAACCTCGAGAAATCGATCGATCGAACGATTTTTGGTTGGAACGAACGCGTCAGCATTTGCCACCCGGGTGAGAATGAAATCGAACGAGCAAAGTGAGACGAGCAGAGAATCCTCGCCGCTTCGGCATTGTTTTTTCGCGCGTGTGATACACGTCGAATGGCGAGAGGTTCCGGCCGAAACTTTCTTCTAGAACAGCCGTCCGCTGTTAGATAAACGAGGAGAGCGCCGCGTCAGACTTTCAATGAACTTTGAGAAGCAAGTTCGTGTTTCACTCCCGGCCGAATGAAAGTGGGAAGAGTTTCACGTAACTCTTGTTGATCGTGCTGCTTCTATTGCGGTAACCGCGAGCATTTCACGAAGTAATTGCAGTAATTCGGCCGCGACCGACTGTCGAAGGGAAAGTGGTATAGGAAAACTGGTATACCGGTCTAACGAAAATAATATTGCATTAGCCGCACGGAAGCCCGCGTTGCATCGTATCATAGCTCGCAAACTTCTCGTTAAAAGGAGACCGAACGAACGAATAATCGGCGCCGTTCGAAAATTCGCGATCCACGCGAAAACTCGCGATCGAGGGCCGGGGCTAGTTACAGCTTCGGTTTGTCCCCATTCCGACGAACCAGCGGCATGTTAATGCGAGATGACAATACCGCGACCGATTGCATCGTCAATTACGGATTATTAGCGCATCGTCGGTTGGTATTGCGGCGGGGAATTCAAGGCAACTTCGTCGTAATTTCATTAGGCCGATAATGCACCGGGAACATTATAATGTTCCGCTACGTGCCCGTTGGTTCATAAAGTCGTCCGATCCCGTGGAACCAGCGTAATCTTTCCGCGAGGCGACCCCACGGTGCATCGCGGTGCATCGCGGTGCATCGCGGTGCACCCCGGCGCACCTCGGAGAACAGGAGAAAGTTTCGCATCTCGTGGCGCAACGAGATACGCGCGAGCTTTCCGAACATTCTCCGCACCCCGATTGCACCGTTTCGCGGCCGGGGCTAATTGATAATTCGACGAAGCGAGCCAGTTAATTCGTCAATACACGGCAGCCACGCGAGATAGGCATGTTAATACCAATCGTCGGAGACATTGTGTAATTGGACCGTGGAATTGCCGGACGCTAATTAAATCAAGCGTCACCATTAATTCGATCAAGCTGAGGACTCCCTTTCGACGGTGGTTCGCGCGTGGCCTGATGCCCCGCGCGCTTCTCAATCAGTGAAAGTTTCTCAGCCGAGTCTCCGGCTTCCTTTTTCCATTTCCGGAGTCTCGTCTGAAAATAGATCAACGGAAACGGCTTTCGACCCAGTTTCTTATCGCCGCGATCGAATCGCAATTAGGATCGCGACGGTGCGAGCGCGTGTCCGGCGAGCACACGCGGGATGGTTGCCCGACGATCCCGTTGCAACCCGTTCTCTCGCATCTTTTTCGTCGCGCACACCGTCGAAGAACGTTCTACGCCTCGATGGAATTCATCCTTCTCTCCGGGAACTAATCAATCTTACCGCCGAGTCCTTGATACCAGGCGAACTTTCTGCTTTGCACAATTTTTTCGCAGAGCCCCTCGATTACACGTTTCGTCGAGCAGAGCGCGCGTTCGCACGTGTTGCGAGAGCGAATGGAAAGTATCGTCGATCGATCACTCCGGCGACGTCCCCGTCGCTCGTAGCTCGAGAAGCGAACGAGTCGGAACAGCTCCGTTGTTCGGGATCGTTTAAGGAATAAAAAGCACGGGCGCTTCTGTTCGCGGTAGTACCTACGCGCGAAGTCAACATACCTATTAGAACTATATTCTGCGCGTACGAATGCTAATACGGTCTGATGACTTAAGTACTCTGATGTAATTTCAGATCTTTGACCGTCGGAAATAAGCCTAGTCTTGGCCGAAGGGTCCGCGTTCGTATCGCCGCTTTCGCTCTCCCGCGCGAATCGCCGTGATCCCACGATCGATTCTATGAAATAGATCTCGCGAGTAGACCGACGGATCCATCCCCGGCGTCTCCTCTTCTCGGAGCTAGACTGGAAACACGGGGAATAGAACGAGCGAACGAAGCTTGAAAGCTGATTGGATTCTGGTTTAATGAAACAAACTGGATCGCACGGGTCGGTAAATGCTCCTCGAGCGTCCGACGTTGACGTTGACGTTCGCGTTGACGTTGACAGACGTCTCAAATGAATCGCAAAGAAGCGAACGCGTGGGACGATTCAATCTAGAAATTCTTCACGGTTGTATCCTCTAAGCAAGACGTGATCTAACCGTCCCGGACGTGTTTTTCGACTGCGGCCGGTTGCTTACCCGTCACGAAACCTGCCACGAATTATCGCATGGATCCGTGTTAAGGGCAGATTATTCTCAATTGAGTCAACTCGAAAATTAGGTTCTTCGTTTGAATTCTCTGAATCGGCACGGGGATTCTTGGTCATTACGAGCCGTGTGAACGCGAGCCGTCTGGAGCCACGGTTCCGGTTAAAACATGGCCATCGACGATCCATCGATCGCGATCTCTCTCCCGCGAACGATCTGCGGCATTTTCATTCGCAGACCGTCCCGCGAGGAAGCCTCCGGAAAATATGGTAAAAAAACGCGCGAAGAAACGGGAGCCGATCTAATTGGCTAGTAACAATTAGTCGACGCGCATCACCGTGCAACATCAAAAGCCAAGGCGTTATGCTAATTAATTATTACTCATTGCATCGCGTAGCATCGCATGGCATCGCGTTCGAGTCTGGATTTTCCTTTCCTGTCAGATTCAACGGCAGATTAATGCCGGCGGCGTTAGGATTACCAGATTTTTCCGCGGGGCCGAAACGATCGCAAAGAAAACAAGACAATGATGTGATAACGACCGAAACTCGACGGAAACGATTAAACGGAGACCGGTGATGAACGAACTTGTTGTGTAACACGCCGGCGCATTCTTATGTAATGCTAGGATAATAACGCGTCGAAAATGACTCGGGATCAAGTTGATCACGATGCGGAATTTCGTGGTCGATCGCTCGATCGCTCGCTCGCTCTTCTAGGATCCGTCGATCCATCCTAATAGATGCTTCTAGGTGAAACGCGGAGATCGAGGCCGTCGCGTGATTCGCGAGCAGCGTCTGTTCTCCGGTGGCCTTGGACTTTCGAGGAACGTTGAAACGCTGGACGAAAAAGTTCTCCATGGCTAAGCGCGCGAGCGCGATCTTCCGCGTGTAATTTGCAATTGAACTTTTCGAATCAGCTACGCGCCGTTTCGCCGACAGCGCAGCAACATTGCAGATGCAACGTTGAACGTTCAGCTGCAATTCTGAAAAACGTTTTGACCATGATCTTTCATGCCGTACGAGCGGAACCGTCCCACCCACATAGGATTGTCCGGTGGTTTGCAAAACTACCGTCGATTCTCGCGTGTGCGAAAATGCTCGTCCTTTGCAACAATGGCCCGATGAACTGCGGCCCATCCGATTAACATTCGTGTTTCGGTGCGCGGATCGGCGTACACTGACGACATGCTCTCTTGATTCCAGGTGAAATGGTGGTGATGTATCTTTACATGAGGTACAGGTACCACTGGAACGAGGTGAAGTTCAGCATGTTCACCACGTTCGCGATGGTAACCAATCTGATCGGTGAGTGAACCAATTAAAAATCAATTGTCGTTAACGGTGCCGGCGAAACAAAAGCCGCAATTACAGTCGCGCAGAAATAATTACCCGTGCAATCGGCCGAACGTGTAATTCGTGCACCAACAAAGTAGTCGCGGCAGCGATTGTCATCGGGAACAGGCAGAGAAAATTGCTGACTGAAGACGCTTCCGCGACAGATTTCCCTGATGACATTTAATTTCTGCATCGTTCGCATTGTTTGCCGCGAAGGTTTTCTTTCTTTTACGCGGAACCGCGATATCTTCGTTTTGATTACGTCGAACACGTGAGGGAATTATACACGGTGGAGCGACGGAGCGTGCTCGCACGTGAGGTTGCATCCGCCATTTATCCGCCGCGATGCAGCGAGACGCATCTTCGTGCGTGGTGCAGCGTTGCACGCCAGCTGTACCCTTGTCCTCACTCTCCTTCTCTCTCGAGCTCCATCTCCTACAAACATAAAAATGTCATATTTCCATAAAAATGTCAAACTAAACATTGAAATCCGCGGTAGCCATTTTCAACGACACCAGCCTTCGAACACCAAAGTGCATCAAACTTGTATAATTTATTGTGCGGATGCATTTTAACATTTACGGCTCAAAACGCAAGAGTTACTGCCGATTTAAATGAGAAACACTTGCCGCAGGCACCGCGGTTTCGGTCGGCGTGTTCAGCCACATCCTGAAGATCGACGACGCGATCGTTGGGATCATGAGCTCGATGAGCAAGATCCTCGCTGGTTTCGTCTACGCGTTCGCCACCACCGACTGGATGATCTATTTAGGTAAAAGAGAGCTCTACTGTACGATCGTCGACAGGCTAATTGCGGATCGTTTTTTCTTTGAATTCCAGGGGCAATCGTGGAAATCGTGAACGGGACATCCTTCATCGCGATGAGATCGATAGTGTCGAAGCTGGTGTCCGCGAACGAGCTCGGTGAGTGATCCATGGATCGACGAAATAAGAAACCAATGTACGCTTCTACCGTTGCGCGCGCGTCCGGTGCAATTAGCGATGCATGCGAACGCGATTAGCGCGTACGGTGGCAAAAGTCAACGCGCGATCCGTAAACACGAGGACAGAAACACCTGCGTTGAGTTTGCGGATAGTTGGGCGACGCGTCAGAGATAGATCGATCGGCTAGAAGGAAAATTACACGGATGACAACGTTGTTCGATGCTTCCTGAGACTAACGTTTAACATTAAACCTAACGAACTCTGAAAGTAACTAACGTGTGTCGCTTTATAATGACGAAAAGACTGTATTTACTTCCGGCATTTTTATTTAAACGCGCGCTTGGATGAAGAGATCGATTCGTCTTTGTAATTTCAAAATTTTCCGACAACGTTTATAAAATGAATTTGGCAAAGTTAGGCGAACACGCGAGATCGGTGCAGCTTCCCGATGACGTTACAAGGAAGAATGTGTAACTCGCGAATCGAGTTACACATCCGCGTCGGGTTTTTGGGGAACGACGCCTTGGAAACACGATATCATTAACAAATGACTTTGTGCCGGTGTAACGTGGCAATTTGCCAGGAATTATGGGAATTGTACCCGTTCGAAAATGGCGCGGTAACCTTCGCAGTAATCGGACTGTTTGCTGGCGTTTCACCTTCGTCCCCGCTCGCCGTTACCACGGAACCGTGTAAATAGAATAATTTTATTTGATCTTATCCTCGAGCCAATTTCCCACGGACTTTTCTCTTAAGCGGCGGCGGCCTAACGAGGTTTTCCTGTCCTAAGTGGTTAAACAGTCGAACGGAGGCCTTAGAAATTCTACCAGCAATTTGTGAATGGTTCCGCAGGCAAAATGAACTCCTTGTTCGGTGTCTGCGAGTCGCTGATGCCGCTCGTCTACGGGCCAATGTACAGCTCCATTTACGGCGCAACCATGAAGAGTTTCCCGGGGACGTTCTTCATCGTCGGCGCCTGCATGACCATGCCCGCGGTCTTCGCCTTCTTGTGAGTCCCTTCTCGGCCGACGCAGCTTTTTTATTAATCCTTTCAGAACGAACGTCGACGTCTCCTTCCGGAAGTTGCAAATCTATAATTTAAATTAGCGTTAGTACTTTGAAAAATTCTTGTCTGCGAAGATTTGATTCTGAATAGGATTCGCGTTGTCTATTCGCGAGAAGAACCCCGGTTTCGGGTCGTGTTCTCCGGCGAAACTGACCGAACGTTTTCGAACAGCTGGCTGTACACGGAGCACCGAGGGGATCGCCAGCTCCTGGAGCAGGAGAACAAGTCGAGCAACAAAGTGGACGGGCAGGAAGTCGAGGGCGATTCTAAACAGAACAAGTGGCAGATCTCCGGCGATAAGAAAACCGATGTTCCTACGATGAACGGGGTGACCAACGCGGCCTTCGAGGCCGACCGTTAGCCGAACTTAAGCTCGAGACACGCAATTTGATCGGAAATTCATTCGGGAAAGTGTAATTCTCGAGTGGATGAGAGAAAGACAGAAAAACGGTGGGTCAATGAGAGGGAAGAGAGCGAGAGAGACAGAGAAAGAATGCGAGAGAGACAGCACACCCAGAAACTCTGTCGAGCGATCGCGAAACGAACAGGTTTAACGTACTATTTTTTTCCGGTTCTTAAGTTGCGTTGCGAACGAACTCTTTTTTTTTCTTTATATTTTTCCTTATCTCGAAACTCAAATAAAGGATAACTACTTGGGCAACGGTGTTTTGCGAACGAGATTCGAAAGCGTCGGAACAGAAATCGTCGATCGATCGGTCGATCGTCCGCGAAATTGGATCACGTTTTATTCTTCTCTCCTTCTGTGTATTCCGTTCTGGAAAAGAATGCGACGACCTGACGAAGCTATCCTTTATTTCCAGTTCTAGTACAAGCAGTCTCCGGTACTTAAGCGAATTGTGACAATAGACGAAACACGAAACAGAGGTATTATCTGTTCGAGCGTATCAGTATTACGAACGCATACATCTCCCCCGCTTAGCTGCTAACTAATTCACGGACAGTTTCATCCTGCGCTCGATGTATTTCTTTCGGCGCCTTGGCTGCCAGGCATACGGGTGCCATGATCTTTTTAGAAATTCAAATTCCAAATCGGATTAGAGACCGTCGTCGACTCGAGAAACGGGAAAACTTCGAAATTGTTTCGCACGATTGCGTGGCAGTCAACGTGCAGAATGACGGAGAGATTTTCCATTTCCCAGGGGAGTCTCGCACGCGAGCCAGATATCGATTGTACATTTTTATTGAATAGTATTTATATTAAGAAGCCGCATCATTTCCGTACGTGTATTATAGCTTCTTGTGATATAGTACAATAGTTTTGTATTTAGGAGATAAATAGTGTTACGGAAATAAAAAGTTTTCATTGACCATTGCACGCGACGATCTATTACCGAAAGATTCATCGAACTCCGGGGATCTACCTCGCCGACAATCCCCTAGATCCCTGCCTTGCCGTCGTCCGTACGAAAAGTTTTCCAAACGGTTGCGTCATCGTTGCCACAGCTTGGCAACTCTCCCGAACGATTATCAATCTCTTGAAAGTGCTGCAACATGCACAAATTTAATTACCGCATGTACAAATGTTGCACAACGAATTTCGAAAGATATCCAAGGAGAATCATCGAGCGTAAACAGCCGGCGATAATGAGTCAGGAAGCTAAACAAGCTATATCTTATCTACATAAAAAAGAAAGACAAATTTTTCCTCCAAAGATAATCGGAATTTCTGTACTATCGATCCTCGTCCCCTTCTTGTTTACACGTGTAATTGAAAAACTGAAACATTCGATGGAAATGAGAGCTATATACGAAATAAAATGGTTGCGGCGATTTGAAAATTTGAAAGGCGCGTGGCACGCGCATCGATCGTTGCGTCGATAAAATCGATGCGGGTTATCATCGAAGATCGATTATCCGACACGCCATATTATGCAGACCGCGATAACGCGATCGTTTGCAGGTAAATAGGCATTAGAATTCACGAGTAGTAATTTGAAAATTTGAATGTCGCGTGGCGCGCGCATCGATCGCTGGTCGGTAAGATCGCTGCGGATTATCAGCGGAGGTCGAATCGCTGGCAAGGTGCACGATCAGTGTGCAATCGTGTTCCCGATGACTGTGCGTCACGTCACGTCACGCTGGCCAAGCCACAGTAACGCACCGCCGTCGAAGCGAGGTGGCATGATGTGAAGGAATTTGGATCGTGCGAACTTTGTACAAATAGTCATAGAGTTGACGCGCGGTTCGTCGTATGTGCCGCCTCGTATCGCCGATAAAGCCGAACACAGTTGAATCGCGATCGCGATCCCGAGCACCTACAAGAGAGTTCGCGGCTACCCTCGTGCGTTTTACCTCGTGTTCGACACGAGGTCGACGGAAATCGGGACACGGACGACGGGGTCAGGTTTTCTCCGAAAAAGTTACGTCGGCCGCAGAGAAACGACACTCTCCTTTTCGTTCTCTATCTCTCTCGCTCGTTCCCTATCTTTCTCTCTCTCTCTCTCTCTCTCTCTCTCTCCCTCTCCCTGTCGATCTTGCACGCGGAGACGGCGTTCTTTTATCTCCGTTGTTAGCGCACACGGACGGACAGAGGCATAAATAAGTGAAAACGTGAACGTCGAGCGAAACGACGCTCGGCCAGCAAAGGTGAGCGAGATTCGGGGAAACTAGACTGAATCCATTTTCTTGACAACGGTCCAATTGCGAGCTGTTGCCGTTGCCTTGAATTCTTCGACCAGATGAACACACGTCGTCCGAGAGACTTATGGCACGCCGATCTTTCAGGCTACAGTTCGTCGTAACGTATATGTGCTTGGATTTTTTTTTGGCGGCTTCGTGATTAGGGGCTGAAAGAACCCTCGCAAGTTCTGGATGAAGATTTTATATTCATTGCGTAACAAGAACAGAATTATTTTGATCGCCTAGTTGCAGCAAGATTTCCTTGGAGTAACTTCTTCTTGTAGTTCTTATTTTATTTTATTTTCATTGTAATATTGAATCGTTGCAACGTTTCAAAGTTGCTCGCGGGTCTTCCAACTCTTTCGAGGATTTTCACGCTTGCACAAGCAAGCATTAACGTTCGAGCTAGTTTTATACGCTTTTTGCAAATACTACTATCGGGTAACGTCGTGGAATTGCAGCATGTGGTTCTACTGGGCCGGAATTATGCACTCTTCTGTAAATATGTAACGATTTCCGAAGGAAAGTTATCGGTTACGATAAATACTCAGGCGATACCACGCAAACTTATCGGGATCGCGTAGTATCGATATTGCAGCTGGTTTGCTAATAATATAGTTATCGATGACGATAAACTACAAGTTACTTTGAAAAAGCCGATCCGAATCGTTGGTTGTTCGTTCTCACGCAAATTTTGTTCGATAAAAAGCTGCCTTCCTTTCGCAAACGCTCGAGGTGGTCGCAAAGTCTTTATTATCGTTAAAAACCATACCGTTCTCGCTTTATCTACCCGGAGCGACAGGCATACAAATTATGAGTTCATAACAATGAATGCAAGACCGGTTTCCGCACAAAATAGCTTATTTTATGTTCACGGTAGAACGATGTTGAAAAGGTTCTGAGTATCGGTATAGGCTTCGTGGAACGGTCGAATGATTCGTCCCCAGGATTGCTGTCGTGCCGGTTGGTTGTTGCCGGCGAGAATCATTCGAGAACACTGTGCACGCGTTTTGAAAGTTTATCGGATCCAGGAAACAGCTGAGCGAGAGCTTTATCAGAACCAGCATGGATGATTAATTCATCCCGTGTGGTATAATATCATCGCATTACATTATCGACGCTTGGTTGACCCTTGTACAGATGCTCGGAACGCATTGCGTTTATCCACGGCCACGTAATCGGTTCGTTCATCATTGTTTTTCAGTGAATATCCTCGTTTCGCGTGCATTTTAAACGCCCGGCGTGGTGGTAGCGTCATCAAACGTTTCGAATTACCAATTCCAATGATTGATAGTGACTTAATCACGTATCCACTCGATTGCGTAAACAATAACTGTGCGATGCATATCGACGACGCTATCATAATCGGATACCGCGGATGTCCGCGTTTCAATTCGCATTTTTATAATCCGGATTTCGTTTTTTTTTAAATGACCGATATACGAGACTTCAATAATTGACATCATTTTGCTGGCGCGCACGTTGCAGACGCGTAAACATCTGTAGTCTGTCCGCGACAATTCCCGCGATTTCTATGGAGCTCGTGCATGTCGCCTTTTATGTACACGGCTGACTTATCCAGTAAAACGATCTGATTCTGCGAAAAATTTGCGTTTCTTACCGACGTAAGTTTAAGAGAACAGTCTCGCAACTGTTCCTTATTAATAACGGTGAACTATCGCCTGATGCAAACCCTTGATTATTACTGCCGAAGGCATTAAGCGTTCATTCGGCCATTTCTTTACGTCATAAAAAACGAATGAGAGGTCGTGGTAATCTTCGATGATCAATTTAACGTGTCAATAGAATCTGCCGACGGGCTCGACGGTCTCGATCGTTTGCTTGGGCGCAACCATTTGCCAAATTAGTAACAATTAAATCCGTCGCAGTGGTGTGACTATGACCAATCGGCTGTCTGAGGATCAACGAGCCTTGATTACCAATACTCTAGTTTACGTTGTCTTCTCTGTACATCAACTCCCGCGTTGGTAGCCAGTTGGCCGGTATCATCGCGCGAGAAAACAAGCACTAGACTACGCATAATCGTAATTAAAGGTCGGGGAACATATCCTTCAAATGTCGAATGACAAATAAAAACAGTAAATCGCTTTCATAATTGCTTTTGCCGAGGAAGATGAGCTAACACGCTTTCATCTTCCTCCAGGTGTATATTTCTGATTTGTCCGCACCGAGCTTCTTAAGATTCCAACATATTCGCTTTTAACCGAGGGCAAAACTAGTAACACAAAGACCAAATGTTGAGTCATCACAATGAGGAACAACAATGATGGAATGATTTAATACGACGATGACTAAGTATATCTAGTTTCTTTGCCGCGAAACCGTAAAATCCTTCGGCAACGGAAAAGTTGAATATTCATGATAACCAGATGGTCAACCAATATTTGAAAGTTTTCAAAACGAGTTTCCTGTTCTCTCTTTTTTGTCTTGTGGAACTGACTTTCATGATTCTTCTCTGTTGCAGCTTAAAGGGATGCCATCAAAATGGGCTTGGATCATTTTTAATCTCGTGATCTGCGCGACTGCGTCCTTTGAACATGACTCATGGAAGGCTTTCATACAGTTAACAGAATTCGATTACGAGGATACCTGTTTCTCTACCGCTGAAGCTGAATGGGCGTTTGTTAATTCTCCGTCTAACAAGACACTGTCCATATGGGTGAGTCTCAGATAACGTATTAACTTATTTACATTCGTAAATATTTATGTATTCGTTTTGTTTTACTGAATTTATGGCAAAATCAAATAGAAAATTGTATACGTTTGTAAACTTGAACTGTTCTTGTTTTGTAATTATTTTGTCGGTTTACAGGAAGAGAAACTGGTAGATTATGCTAATTTCAAACACATACAACAAATCGAGGTTGTTAATAGTCCCAGGGATAATAATATTAGCGATTCCTCCTCGCAATATAAATATGATGTTGCTGTAAACATAGGAGATGCTCTATTGAACAGTAGTGATTTTAGAACAGTAAGATGCATTTTGTTAAACCAAATGTTTAAAGCACACCGTCATAGAAAATTTGAAATGATCTTACTTTGCAGCTTGTTCACTTTGCTGGGATAGCAGAGTTTAAAAGATTATCTGCAGTGTGTAAGGTATCCTTGACCAACTACACACATAGAGGTACAGATATTAGATAACTAATACGAATGTATCAGCTAAGTATTAAAACTGTCGACATTTTCAGATGTAGAACGCGTGCTGCACTTCAGCAACAGTGCTGAAGAGAAGAAAAATGTCTGGATAGCATGGCACCAAGAGTTATCTGGCTTAGCTAAAAATATTACAACTGTCCTCCCAATTGTTGAACAAGCTGCCAAAGAGAATGGTCAGTGTTTGAAAGAGAATAATTTAATTTTATATCTGCTCAACGACAATATAGCTAGCAGTATATTGTTTTAGGTGCCCCAGATTTTATACAATACTGGGAATCGTTGAGTGGATACAAAAACGGCTACGAGAATATTAAATACGAATGGAGCAAAATCACTAATCTTCATAAAAAGATACTACGACATGTATTGAACAATTTGTCTCATAAGTATAATTTCCATGCAAATGAGACAATCCCAGCCTATCTGCTTGGTGAGTTAATATTGCGGGACAATTGAATTAATAAAAGAAGAAGTTTCTTATAAACTTTACCTCATCGTTGTCTACTTAGGATCGTTGCAAGGAAACGACTGGACCCCGGTTGCAGTGGATGTGTCTCCTCATCCAGACCTAGTGCATAAAATAAAAAAGAATCTTTGGAAAAGAGTATGCAATGATTACTTTAATAATAGATGAACGTAGATTAAAACATTAATTAAACATCGTTTCAGAAACTTCTTGGTAAATCGTTGTACGAAATTGCATCTCATATGGGCGCACAATTATTAAATAATGTCCCACAATATGAATTTTGGAGAAACAGTAATTTTAACGGGCATTGTCCATCGAAACTAATTCATTTTTGCAAGGATAGTAACGTGAGGTGTGTACTGTAGGCTAATAATGAACTACACCTGCATATTTTGCATAATATTGAAACTAAATATCCTTATAGGGTATCTACTTGCTACCAACCTACATTGAGCAATTTTCTTTCGGCTCACAAGAATATAGGCAAGGTGTTATTCAATCAAATGTCTGCGGATAATGTTCCAGTACTTACTATAGCCAATAGATACTCCGGTAAGATTAGAATGTTCAAAAATATTATATTTGTTGTAATAATGGAAATTAACATCTATGCAACTTTGTAGTTTTAGAAGAAGGTGTAGCAGAACTGTTCGGTATCCTAGCAGCCAGTCCGGCTTGGCTAAATCACTCTCGCATTATAGATAATTCAGTCGACAATGATCAGCTTTTAATGGTATCTCTAATGATAACTGCATTGGACGTACTACCTCGACTAGCTTATTATATGTCGGCGGACATGTGGAGAATCAAGGTTATTGAAACCGGCATGAAGCCTGAGAATCTAACGTTATCATGGTGGCAGCACAGGTATCAATTTGCTAAGTATTAACGCGACATAGGAATACATTTTATTAGATATTGATTTTGAACGTTCGTTCAAGGCAAGAATACGAAGGTCTGAACAACAATGGTACGGAAATACCCACGTTCCTAAATGACGATTATATCACCAGCAATAAACCATATCTCTCGTAAGTAGCAGTAATGATTAAACATATAATTGTTCTGATTGATACTTCCACGTTATTGACGTAAGCGTTAATTTTGCAGTAAGATAACAGGAACAATCCTTGCCTTCCAATTCTATGAATATCTTATGGAATCCACGGAAGTCAGATACGACACCATCGTAGGAAGACAATCGAAAGCTGATATTATGTGAGTATCAACAAAAATTAATAACACTTTTGTCAATGACAGAAATTTTTCGATCGAAATAGGAAATTAATGATTATTTTTTTTCTCACTGACAGAAAAGTAATTCAAAGCGGAGGAAGGAACGAGTGGTCAGAAATAATCAAGAAATTCTTAGAAATAACAGAAATATCCGTTAATCCAATTCTTTCGTTTTTCTCTCCTTTGGAAGATTTGATCGACGAGTTGGATGAGGATTTCAAGTATAAACCAATCACCGTTAAGGAGTCAGAGTTGCAAGAATTAGAAAAGAAGATAGTTGCAGAAGTTAATGCCCCTACAACGACCACTGTCACGCCAAGAATGGTAATCAGGAGAAAAGGAATAGTAACCCCAACGCCTTACAACAAAGAAAATAGTCTAAGGGCCAATGCGAATGCCGTATCTAACAACAACAAGAGCTTAGCGTTGAAAACATCCGTACACGCGACGGAGCAGAAGTCTGAGAACCATAATTTATCGGGATCAGAAGTGTCAACTAAAGTTCCTTTCGATGAGTCATTAGACAATAGTATAGACCCTGACCAAGACACGAAACCAAAGATGAATACTAGTAAAGCGGTGTGGGCGGTAGGAGCGGTGCTCCTGGCGACGATAGTGATTTGCGTAATAGCGATCTTCGGTCGGCAACGATGCCGCAAAACGCCGAAAAATAGACGATACGTTTAACCAGCAGGTCAGGCGGAAAAGCATATATTTATTGTTCTTTGTATTTAGATTGTAAGATCTCCTTTTTTAACCGAATAATTTATCGTCATTCAAAGAAAGACATTATATAACTGATTGGCAATATCGTGAGAGATCGTACATTCCTTAGGCTGCTCTTTGCGGAACGAAAACCGAGGCTACACACTCAATATACAGTTCTTTCGCCCAATGAGCAGCACGCACAACAGAGAGAATGTCCAAGAAAGGGAATCAGACCTCCGATGCAAGAAAAAGTATTAATCATTTGCGTTCTTTTTGAGTACGGAATAAAATTTATTTAATTTAAACCGCGATATGTAAATACATATACCTTAATCACTTGCCTTGCGACGTTGTTCTGTGCTTCCTGAAGTTTGAAAATTCAAATATTTGGCGCGCCGAAAGCAGTATTGCGCGCGCTCTGTCACGTGACCAGCCATGCCGCCATTATTGTGTCTCCATTGAATCTGCAACGAACGAAATAATATTGAAATTCTATTGTGAGGCAAGGGGTTGATATTGTTTTCAGAAAGAAAATTTTATATATATTATATACACACTGTTTTTTTTTTGTTGTATTTCATACCGAATTATGCACAAATAGATCACGAATTGTAGTATAAAAGTTGATCGTGTATGCCAAGTACAACAGTGTTCCTCTACAAGTATGCCAAACCGTAGTGAAAACAAAAAAAATGAAAATCGAATTGAACAAGATTTTCGAATATTTTCCGCCTTCTATTTTCTGTAGATCCTCTAGAGAATTATGCGTCAGAAAAGTCTTCGTAAATTCAAGTCTATAGTGAAGGAGTCTATCCTTAAAACGTGTACATAATCATTGAACAAATAGTAGAATAAAAAAATGACGAGAACGTATTTATTCGAACGTGTCAAAACTTCACAGATCGTACAACATTTTTCTACCATTCATACGAAACGTGCACGTCATTTGTAACGAATTGTATGGAAGATTTATATTTTTTATAAAAGTATATTTATTTTGTACCTAACGAGAGATAATAAAAACCTTGTTTCGGTACAAACATCGAACTCTCTATTATTGCTATTTCTTTAAAAATGCTCTGTACATAACTTAAAGTACAGAAAATTGAAATTATTAGTTTATTACATACCTTGGTCATTGTTTCTAAAGCCCTCGCAACAGTATAGAATTATTTCCATAGCGGTTCCCACTTTCAACAAGAAATTTCGGGTGTCCTGTGATAACACTGCTCAATATTGGAATACTTATTTAACAAATTTAACCAATTCAATAGTAAATATTTAACTTCTACGCTTCACCTTGACAGCGAAAGTACGGTTTAAACGACGCGTGGTGACTGACTGAACTCATATTTCACATTTGCTACCTGATTGGACCCGTTTTCAAAATGCTGAGCGCTGATTAGCTGAGCGTATAAGCAATCTCATTGGCTAACCACCCAAATCAAGAAGCGCTACTTATGAATCATCTCTATGCGTTCATTAAGCTATGGATATATTATACATTGATTTTTTGAAGTAAATATTATTGTATATGGTTTTTTAAACACAGAAACTATTTAAAAAGCGTGTGCACTATTTTTCCATAGTATATATAATAATCTTTTTACTAGTACAAAAAGTTAAATAAAATAGTAGAAACTTAGTTCTTGAAGCAAACATTATTTTTAATCGTTTTTTAAATACATAAACTACTACATAAACGTATGCTGAGTTTTTCACGTGAAACCTGAACGTTTAACTAAATTTAGAAATAAATAAAATAAAATACTCTACGCTTATTCTTTAATGAAAATATGATTATCAGGTGCTCTTTAGAGACAAAAGATGTTTAACAAACGCGGTCTAATTAAATTTTGTCTCTAAAAAGAAAAGAAAATAACATTTTTGATAATTGAACTCTAGTTTCTACAGGGTGTATTGCAACGCATTTTCAGTGCACATTCATCGAACAACGATTAGTGTTTACACGGAACGTTCGTTGCTATCGTCCTCGTCATTAGTCAGAACTCCTAGGCACCCAGGTACGGGTCATGCGAGGAAGTATAACAACCTTTCCAGCGGGGGCTATCGAAGTCGGAGAAAATCAATATAATGCGAAGAGTAGGTTCGCAATCGTGGCACGATCGTTCGCCTTGAGGAGTAGAATCGTATCGCCAGCTAAGAATGCCGTTCCATTGTTCCACCGTTATCGTTTGTTAGCGGTTACTCATAGGCGCGTTCTGTCATTGGCAGAGGGACACGAGGAAGGGCTCGACAACAAAAAGAGATAACGGGGCAACGAATTCGTGGTAGAGCCCGGAAAGGAGGAAGGGAGCAAATTGTGGATCAGTTGTTCGATCATAGACGTCCGTGGAGGGTGTCGAGTCGAGACATGCGCGCGTGGTAGCGGTAACGCTAAGGGTTGCCCGGATCACCAACAGTTCCTTATCGTCGCGCCCTTCGCATGGATACCAGCTGTAACTACTGGCGGGGGTGTTCGTGCTTGAAACTTACCAGCGCCCTAAGGGAAACCGAGTCAGCTTAGACAAGGGCCGAAGGGGAATATCATCCCCTTTCGTCGTGCTGCGAGCCGCGTTCAGTGAAGAGCATGCGCGTCTAGCATACAGGGGTTGTGTGTTGCAGTCAGGGAGGGGCTGGCTTTCTCTTCGACGGAGTGACTCAGAATATGCATTCCTGAAAGTACATCTTTCGTGATTTTTATCCGTGTGACATGCGTATACCGCTGACCGATCGTTCTATCGTGTACCACGTCTGCGATATTCATCCCGCGATGTCATAATTGGTGGCAGTGTCGAGTGTGTTGCGTGGATCGACTGTCAGCTGTCCCTTCACCATGAACGTGAGTACTTGCTGCCTCCGACTATCGACTCGTTTTCTAGCTCGCGTGGGCGTTCCTCTCGTCCCAACATGACAAACTCTCTCTCTCTCCGACTGGAACCTGAAAAGAGGATTGCTGTTAGTATATTGCCCCCATAGTCGCAATCGTAGGACCTAATACGTCATTGACCTCCGTGCCGTGGATAAAATCGATGCGAAGGTTACTTATAATCCAGAAAGCTCTGCTGTACGATCGTTCCTTCGGTCTCGTTGGTCTCGATAAAACAGCGTAGTCCTTGGGTCTCCTTAGGAATAATCATCTTCACTGGCTGCGTTGGTCAATCATCTTCGCTGGTCTGCTATCTCCTGTAATAAATTTTAAAGATAAAAATCAGTCGATCGATCTTCGTGATTGATAATTAACACGCTATTCATCGGGCTATTGTCTCACGAAGTTTAGAAACCTATGATTCATAACTAACAGTGTCACATAGAACTAAGATTTTCTTTCGAGATTATCATTTGACAAAAAACGTAGATAACGCGGAGACTGTGCTCTCCGGGACAGTATCTTTTCGGTGACCCAGGGATTATGCCCTATAAGGGGTTAAACAAGACAATACCGATCGATTCCTCGGACCACGGCAAGCGGAAGATAAAGTGTACCAAGAAACGATTCCTATAGCTCTCCTCTCTCTATCTCTCTGTCTTTTCCAGACGTGATCTCTCGTTGGGATCGGGTGACCTTGTTCCCCCAAGCACTCTTCGGGTTTTGTTAGCCGAGAATCGCCTGCCGGTTGTTGTTCAGTGAGTTAATTACGATTCCGATGCCTTTATTCTCTCTTTCTCTCTCTCTCTCTCTCTCGGATTTTTTTATGCACCGTCCAGAAAGGAGAGAACGAAACAAAGCCATGTGGGACGCAGAAAGAAACATGCTACGGAATTGCAAACCCCACGTATCCGGACAAGCCTTATCTCGGTTACTGCGATTCCTTAACCTTTTGCGGTTCCGAGTAGTCCTTATCTTTGGTCCCAGAAACGTTGTCTCTAATTTGCTGGCAACTGACTGGAATAGAAAATAAATGACTAAAGTTGCTGTTGTATACAACCGAGATTAAATCAGTAAAATAAATTGCTACGAGTTAAAGAAACTTCAGGAAAGAGTTAAGGGAACGATTCCATGAAAGATCAGCCACGCGAAATTCGTAAATTGATCGGAGCAATCGCAATAACGGGTCGGAGAGCTCGATGACTCGGGTTCCAGTCGTTCCTTGCGTTCATTCCGTATCGAATTCCAAAATGATTGTGCCCTCGCCCGCACGGCACAGGAACGAGAAGTATTTTTCCTTTAACGATACTCGTCTTGGTCCTCGGCAAAGGGAAATGCACCGGAGAGTCTTTCGGGAGTACACTCCTTCGTTGCACTTGTGAAGGTTTAAAAATAGCGTCGCGTTTTATAACGCGTGAAACACGAAACAGCTCGAGAATGTGGATTTCTTCTCTAAGTACCTAAAACCGAAAAGAAAGAAAGTTATCGTCCGGTGATTATCGAAATCCATTGTGAAATACCGTCGCAATGTTCCCAATATATTTCGGTTCGGACAAGAAAATATTCTGGAACGTTGTACGGGTAGGCTAATTAATAAGTCGATAATATTTTTCAGGCCTTGGCGACAGATATTGTCTGCGGCAACGGAGACCACGTTGGTGAGTTCGGATGCGCATACGTTCCCGTGATTTATACTTCTCACGACCTATTTACAATGCAGATCAATCTTCAAACAGTCGAAGCAAGCTATTTTTCGTAGCGCTTTGTAGCTAGAACATTTTTATTTTCATGCTGCGCAACCTCTTCAACATGCTCCTCCGTTGCATTCGATTTTAATGGTATTCAAGCTTGTTTTTCACCCTGCGCACGAGTAGTCGATAGACTGCGGACATACGCTTGTGCATCTCACGTTGCAATTAAACGAACCCACCGAGATTCATTAAAGGAATCACCGAGATTCTCGGAATCGACGTTACATCGGCTTCAAGGCATCAAAGTTTAGCAACGCGAAAATCGTTCGATGTTGTCGAGGATCGTTGATTTTTCAACGATCCACATTGCTAATCCGCATTGTTCGGCTAACCGCATTGTGGTTCCCCGGAATATCCTTTGTCCGAAGTCATTTCGAGTACACTAGGCGCAAAGGGAACCTTATAATGCGATTGTGGCAAACGGGATTATTTCGGCGCGTCCCGCTTCTTCTTTCTATCTGTCCGCCACAACAGCGTCCATCAACCGAATCGATCTCGCATCGATTTCCCGTTCCGTTTTACCGATTTCCCGGCAATTACGCAATCATTAGCTAAAATAACCTTCCCGAGAACTTTGCGAATCCCGTAACCTTTCCGCGAGGGTTCACGGTGATCTCCCCGCGATGCCATGAAATCGAAATCGCTCGACGATAGAAGACGTGTCGGCCCAAGCTTAACAACTCGTAAACTTGGGGTGCCTAACGATTAGCGGCTAATTATCGGAGCGAACGTTGCTCGATGCCTCGAAATATTTCAAACGTGATAGCACGAGAGGGACAGGCCTCGCCGCGATGCACAAATTGTGCAGCGCGTCAAATATTCACCCAGCTCCGGCAGTATCCGCGGAGAGGCTAGCAGAGCCCGGGTCAAAATCAACCCGAGAGATTCGAGAAAGGGTCAGAGGGTGGAAAGGGCCCTCGATACGAAACACGAGCGCGTTATATGCGTTGAATGAGCGAGCGGAATAGAGCTGCTCTCTATTCCGGCCGAGGCGGAGCGGGTATTTATTAATAGAGATTAAACTCCGCGTCGTGTCGTGCCGTGTGCAAACGCTCTCCCGCGCGGGACGCGTGCTGTTAGGGCAGTCTGAGTCAGACTGCGGTCCAGAAAGCGATTCCGCCAAAATAAACGCGAAGGAAAAATTCAGTTGCGCGTGTGTCCGCTATCATCGGTCGAACGCGGTGTGCTCGTAATCATCGGAGCGGATTAACTCATCGGAAACCACTTTGCCACAGTGCATTCTAGCGATCGTGGTGTGTCAAGTGTGTGTTCCTGTACGAATGGCTCTCGATGGGATCGTCGCGATAAGTCGGTGGAATCGTTCGCTGAACCAACCGATTGGACAGTGACCAGTTTTCGTTCATGTTCGATGCAGCCAGTGCTGGACTGCGATTTTTCTTTGTGTTTTCGTGCGTTACTCTGTGTGTTCTCTGTAGACGTAAGGTCTCTCCTTTGTGAGGAACCGCTGCATACAGGTTCGCCCTCTCTCTTTCACCACCGATCGATCCAATTGCATCGCGTGTCCCCGACGCGCGGCAACGTATGCATCGAGGAAGAGGGGAGTGATGTTTGTCCCGTTTTTTGAATGCCACTCGATATACATTCGATCATAGGTCGACGTTCATTTACCGGCCAGGGGAAATTAATTCCGATTCAACGAGTCGTTACGCCTCGCACATCCTCTATCGCAGCGGCGGCCGCGTACTTACTCTAATGAGTGCCCCTGAAGTATTGTTTACCGCCGGCACGGCCGAAATAAATCGCACGAGCTTACCGATATACTCGTCGTTAACGATTCACCATCATCGGTCAATTGCATTCTTCCTTTTCGCACACGACTTTTCTTTCTAGGAAAGTGAAACTTACGCGGAATATTTTATACAGTCTGCTGTTCTCATCCGCGATAAATATAGAGTTTCGCGAAATCATCCGCAGACCCGATTAACGCAATTATAGAACGTGTGACTCAACGTTCCGACAGTTTTTATCGTCTCCGCCCGTACTCGAACGTATTAATCGCTCGGTCGAATATCCCCCGTTATCTTAACGTTCGATTAACTCGAAACAATTGCCTCGCCACTTGTTGCAATTTAGGCGGTTGAACGCGTCTGCTGACGTAACAACTATTATTACTATTCGTCGTATAGCTCGACACCGAAAAACATGTTTCGACATTGTTTCCTAACAGATTGTAACCGACACTTCCTATCACTACTTCCGGGTAATATCTGAATCATTCTCGATAAAGCTCGTCTCGTTGATGTCGGTTTAACAATCTCCGATTTGCAGAGCGTTTGCAGATTATAACGTCCAAGTCCGAAATCTTCGATACAATTGCGCAAAATGTTCTTGTTATCTTGTTGCGAAACGGCAAACTCGTATCCAAGAGGGAAGATATTCTGCAGTCTTCCCCCTTTTAACCGCGTGTAAATTTTTCAAAGACCATTAATAAATCATTGCCGACAGATAAAGTGTTAAGGATTTCGGGCTGAGTGGGTTCGACGAACTCGCTGCATCGAAGTCCTTGGGTTAAAGGGCTAAAAACATAGTTCTGTGGACCTAGAAAACACAGGACGGTCCTCCGGTCGGTAAAAAGCAACGAGATGGGTGCAGTCGCAACGGTGGGCCTCGCTATTGGAGGCGTAAGCCGTGTGCGAGCTGCACCGCTGCCTTCGTGCCTTGTCCGGTAAACAAAGGGATCTTTTGAAAGGTGTCATCGGCTGGCTCGCAGAGGAGTAAATCGACAGTGGTTCCGCCGGTGTGTTTCTATTCGTCAAAGGTGCAACGCATCTTTCATGTTGGAGAGCGTGCCGGGCAAAGACGACGTGTCGAGTGCAGCGAGAAACACTTGCGAGTCCGTGATGTAACTCTTTCGAGTGGTAAATGTACACCGCCGTGGCTGGAATAATGAAAAGTGAACAATCTCAAACGATGGACCAGCGAGATTCGTTGTCTTCGCGACCGGACGATTGGTAAACAGAGGCAACTCTGCCTTCTCGTCTTTTGTACTGTTACTCTTTGTTTTCTGTTCGCTGATTTTACGAACTGTGCGGTGATTGTTAATCGGACACGATAACAGTGAGAATAACTATTGATCGTTATCCAATCGTGAAAGCGTTACTATGTTGTAACACGACCGGATAACGAAATTATTAAACATTGACAAATGATGATAGTGCTGCTGCTGTGCATCATCATGAAAATAGCCGAATTTTCTGTAGGCCGGGTGAGCCCGCCATTGCAATCGCCGCCGAGACCGCCGATCTTTTATCGCAAACGGAAGGGACAGGAAACTAAATATCGGAGGAAGACCGGTCAAAGATGCAACTGTTTCCTGTACAATCGTAAGAGCATTGACATCATTATCGTAGCATGGCAAACTAATCTCTAACTTGGAACACAAGGTCGTAAGTCGGCTGATATCCGGTAGCATCTGTCCGATTAACGCTTTAAGATGAAAAAGCATATGATCCCAGGTTAATCTAATTTTTATTGGATCTTCTTCCAAGGGTTCTGCGTCTTATGTTTTCCAATGTCCTCGGGACAACATCAGTCGTGAGTCCTTGACTTGTTGCTGAAAATTAATGCACAAGTTATTACTAGCGCTCTATATATTGTTAAAGAACTGCCGCCAAGTATCCGAGAATATTCGCAAAACTTCTGTAGCATACTTCTCACCTGTGTGTGCAATCACTCCCACGCATCCACCACTACTGACATAGAAACGACAACATCGTCGACGTTCAAGTTCAGCTAAAAAGACATAACGAACGGAACAAGATTATTAAGTCCGCGTTTAATATCGTTGGAATGTTTAACAGCGTAAAAATCCACGGTATACCTGTAACCGTTTAAGCCCGGCTGTGTCACTTCTACGTGTTCGCGATGCTCGCATTACATCACACTTATCCTCATCCAGTGGTGTTAATTTACCAGCAAGCATTGGCGTATCGCGAGCACGAGATCATCGATCAAATGTCTTAACGGAGAACAGTTTTGTTACGAAGCTCTCATGGAAAATTAGTTACTAGATAATTGGTCATCGAGACTATTTACAAAGAAAGGTATCTTTCTCGTTTCATTCCAAGTGGTGGAACACTTCAGGTTTCCTAGAGACAAACAAAGCTACTGTATTGAAGACCCCTTGTATAATCCCTCAGAGGCGTAGAAAGTAATTTACGACTACCTAAGAATGTGTCAGCCGTTTCCTTCTCGTTTAGGGACGAAAAGAGTCGGTTAACCCAAAGTTAAAAAACTTCTCTCCCACAGCCTTGCGTGAGAAATGGCGTCGCATCATACTATTTCCAGTAGCAAACTCTGTGGGAGTCTTCTACACCATTTCCAGAGGCTTTTGCCACGCTGCTGCTTCTTCTGCGCTCTCTCTCTCTCTCTCTCTCTATCTCTTCCTCTCAGTGTCACTGCTTTTAAATATTCGCACGATTGCTATCTGGCAAAGCGGGATGGCTATATGTGCGTCGTACAAAAGCATATATGTCTTGCTTTCAAAATGTAAGCTCGGACAAGCTCCCTGAAAAAAACGCAGATAAATAGAAACGTATGTTCCACGAAGACAACAGACACCGATTTCCGAATAAAGTCTGGCTAACTCACCTCACCAGAAAATCGCGAAACATAAACACGAGCCAACGAAACGAACCGTTTCCCCTGGCAAAAGTATTCCCGGATTATATTTCGCACGCGTAAAATTTTCGTCGGCTTGCGAATTTCGGCTCCTCAATTTCATTCCCCCGCCTTCCCTCGTAGCTCGTTCAACGCCTCGCTAAAATTAACTCGTGCCCTCGACACTGCCAGAGAACTAACCAACAAGAATCATTTTTCTACCAAGGTGAAAAAACCGAATTCGCTAACCTGTTGACTGCGAACTACGAGACAACTCATTCACTCTTTTATTTTCGTCTTTAAACGATTGAAAATCTCTTGCTTTCAACTGCTTCTGCATTTTATTTCATATTACTGCTATAAATATTTGGATAGAGAAACTTAAATATTCAAATTTAACTACTCGTATTCCAATATTCAAATTGAAACATTCGAATTCAAATTAAAGTTTCATACGCACTTTTATTGCCAATCAATCGATCGATTAACAGTTTGGAACCATCGAACATGCGGCAGCTTCCTCCAGCGTCGAATTGTCATTTGTAATGCGAGTCACGTTGACTTTCTTCGGAATTAAAATTAATCGAAGCTTGCAACAAGACGTTGAATAAACGATGTCAAAAGTCCTCTTTCTTTTAGTGTTTTATTCCGCGAAAATTTAAAATTCCTTGTGCAAACGACAGTCCCACCAAAATTTCTAATACATTACTAAAAAATTCAGATATGCCGTAAACAAAATTTCGTAGCTTGTTTAGATACGTTTTTTGATATTCACAGGTAGATTGAATACTGTCTTTGAATTTTAGCGACTAAATATCTTTTCAATGAATCGCATTGTAACCTTAATTCAAACATTGTATTCGATTTCCTTTTGCCCACCCTTTGCGCTTGATCGGTAATGCTCATGCGCCGCGCCAAGCAAACCGTGCGCTCCGTAGGCGCAGTTAAAATGAATTTCTAACATACTACATATACTATACTATGAGTAACGGGCGGGTTGTCGCCATATGGTCGTGGGCATCAGTGTTTTCGGTTAACATTTATCTGGTGTAAATATTTTCCGTAGAACCAGAGTCCAGCGACCGTGGCGATGCGGTGGAAACGAATTATTCGAGGTACGGTTGTTGGTTTACGTTGAAACTACGCTCTTTTCTCATCTTTTCTGGGTCACAACATCTACAAAAACCTACTACCTATCATCGTAGCAATTTATCACTCTTTCATCTACTAACTATAAATGATAGTACATGAGTTACAACACCGTTACCGCGACAATGCAAAGATGGTTAAATAATTACCTGACAGTGGGCGAGTAAAGTATTCTTACACCATGTTCTCGATAAGACCTAACCTACTGTACGTTTACGATTTATCGCGATAAACAGAGGCATTCAATCGAATCACAAGACGACAATGTTCTCTCTCGACTGATTTCATCGATCAATGGAAAATTTGAATCGATTATACTTTGCCTTGATCGCACATATCTGCAATGTTTTTGACATGACATATCGATTCGTTGGCCGATCATTGTGCGGTTAAAAGCTCTTATCGTGGTTATCGCATTATGCATGCTTCAAAACAACGCATGACTTATTTTAAGTTTCCTTAAGATGTAAGTTGTCGCTCAAAGAAAAGAGTTTCGAGACCGATTTCTGTGCATGCGCATTCGAAGACGTTGCCGATTGCCTAATCTAAAAGTACCATGCTCCAGTCGATCGATTAATTATTTATTACGTGACAGCTAACCTTAAAACACGCCCTCTTAAGAACACCACAATGACGCGCAGCCTTGATCATCCCCGATACGGAGCACGAACGCGCTCGCTCCAATACGTCCGCCATAACCTTAGCCTGACGTCATTGGCTGACAATTCTACTTTATCCTGAACGTTCGACGGGTGGACAGCGGATGAGGAAAATACTTACATCCTTATCAGTGCGTCGTCGGTGGTTTTATCGGGACTAATTCACCGATTCCCACTCTTCCAGCACCGTAGAAATGGTGTAGTTGACGGTTATCGTGAATCCGTGTTCGCTCTGTGCGCGTTACACATATAATGAATCAGTTGTTAGGTAGAGTGACCTCCTCCTCTCGATAATGCGACGATGCGTCTTAAAATTTGGCTGTGTTTGTTTACCCACGTGACCCATTTTACGCATAGACCAGGAGATGCGACTCAGTCTTATACCTGCGGAGACTTGTCACCGATCGTAAACAATGGGATTACGGCCGACCCAATCGCGTAATTGTTGACATTACAATGCTTTAGGAAATACGACGTTTGCAATGTACCAGAAAAGGCAAACATGCTTAAAGAATTTCAATACTTTGTGTATGTGACTTATGCCCTATTGTTGTGTTGTTGTTACTGCTGCAGCTGTATTTTTTAAATTTAACATCATTTGCTTTGTTGTCATTAATTTATGCAACATTATGTGTTACAGGTGTAGGCAAAGGGGCTGCAGTGATGGAAGATCCACAAACACCAGGCTCCGATTGCAATTCTAATCCTGCCACAGATTCTATACAACACGACTTGATTAGTTCTGAATTTGTACAGGATAATGTAGATTATCAGTGGTTTGTCGATTATGGGTATGTACAGAATGTTTGTATATCAATTGTTTTCAGTAGAGCTTTTGTAATTGCGTGTAAAATTTTAGCTTCAGAGATGGAGGGCTTCATATTCATCCTAGTGTATTGTCCTCGCTCTCTGCTTCGTACACTCGAGAGGATTTGGGTTACTACGATGACCTGGCCCGCAATCTGGATGCTAACTTGGCAGAAATCGATATGGAAAGTTTTCGTACTGCAGACATTCATACTTTGCTTACAGCTCTGCCTGTTATGTGCACCGATCCAGTTCAGCATTCGGAGGTAAATATAATGGAGATCATTGGGTCAGTAGCATAATGCTATCAATAGCAGAATCTATCATTCTCGATGTTATGTTGCAATTGAAGTTGCTCTACTGCTCAAATGGAGATAAATGGTTGTTTCACAAAATGTCTTGTCTATATAGAAAAGATCTTACATGATATTTATGTAAATCACAGTTAGTTTGTTCTAAACATATTGTGTATTCCAATTTCGTGGCAGTTTAACTATCAAAGGGAACGATATGCCAGTATATCTGGATCTGTTATGGAAAAGCTTGACATCGGTTCATCTATCAGCCCTCATACCAGCAGCCAGGTATGACAATGGCTGCAAACGTTCAGTTTCTTTTACCCTATGTTCACAATGAAGACTGAGATTTAAACTGACTTGAGTTATGCTTATTACAAGAGTAAAGTGCAAGTTTGGTTGCAGTTCCTCTGCATGGCCACTGAAAAAAAATGAGTATAAGCTGATTTGTTCATGAACGTAATAAACGAGGAAGATGTTAAAAGATTGTTCAACTAATAGAACGAGTTGCGCCATTTAACATACGATGCATGAAAATCAGCTCTGCTAGTTATGCAAAATGCATGATGAATCATTGATAGGCATGTAAAATATAATAACGATATGATTTGATTTTAAGGGAGAAGATTCAGCCTGTTCGACGACGGACACGATTTCCATTTGCAAATCGTCGTTGCTATTTTCCCCTCTGAAAGAGACACCCGTGCTACCACCGGGTGGTAGCTACAGCGTCGACTCTCTGGACTGCGAGGATATGTTGCTAACATGCCAAGTGAACAACAAAGACAACTACACTATCGCCTTTGAGGGTAGTATCACAATGTATTCAGATGGCTCTCAAGATTTTGAAAATCAAGGTAAACTATTCTCGAGTATACAGTAATAATAGATTAATCTAATCGCATTGGTTCGTTTTACAGAGAAGCAGGAAAATGACGAGACGCCAGAAAGATTTTACAATAGGAATTCCGACTTAAAGAACGTGTTAGATTTATCAATGGCATGTTCTGATTCAAAAATTTATACTACATGGAGCAACTTGAAACATTCTTCCATGAACAAAATCATGACTCGTCATCCCTCAGGCAATAATAATACAAATTCCGAATTTTTACAAGGCGTTGGAACTATTCTACCCGGTACGAATAAAAGGAGTCAAAGCTTACCGGATCTTACTCAAGCTACTCAACTACAGCACATTAATGTACCTCTCAATTTCTCTGTAAGTCTGGAAGAATAATCAAATTAAATTTGCATAATGAGATACAATTGTTTCAATTGAAATAATTCTTAACAGGTCAACTCCGCGGAATCAAATAATCATGCACAACAGTCACATAGCTCAGGGTCCGTAATGAGCCGATCAACTAACGAAGAATGCTCCGACAGCGGGGAACACGCTTCATCTGGGAAGAAGCTGCAGAACTTGAGCCTTGTCAAATTATTTATGAAACAGAAGAGTATGAGTGCAGACGGCATGAGCCTTACTTTCGACCAGTCGGACTCTGCCAGCGATAACGGATGGCCTACAAGCAATAGTGCTAGTGATAGTGGTACTAATACAAATACGCAAATACAACGGAAAAATCTAAACAATACCTCAAAATGCCAACTACCGGAAAGCGACTTCTCTATTAATTGGGTGAAAGGAGAGATCCACAACAATCAGGAAATAGAGAAGGAGAAAGATATTTCTAACGACATTCCAAAGCATTCGTGGATAATTGCTGGACAAAAGGACGATATGGTGTCGTCGGCATCTGTCGAAGAACTATCTGAAAATATGACGAAGTCAGATTTAACGCATGATAACGAGAACATCCAAAACAGTTTCGATGTAATTTCAAATGGATTCGACCAACAAAAGAAAACAGCATGGATCCGATCCTTGGAGAAGAAGTATTCGGTTTGTAAAACTACGGGCATTCAGGCGATAGCCGAGACGGAGGATAATGCGGTTCAGACGTCGTTATTGTTCCCAGAACCACCAGCGGAGAAAGAGAATCCGTCTGTGAGGGAGACAATTGTTAATAAGAAACCAGTATACGTTGTTTACCCAAATTACGCGTTACCTGATTTATCGTTTCTTAATATCAAAGACACCCGGATGGAAAACGTAGCTTTGAAGCCGCAGTGTTATGGGAAAAACAGGGTCAGTTGGAGACAGCATACGAGTAGATCCGGTAGACCGTTTTCGTGCAACGATATAGACGCCCTGCGTCAACGCGGGTTCTCGCATGTTAAAGACTGGGAGTCGTTGACATTCCTTCTGCCTATCGAGTACAAGAAGATTCTACACGATGTGCCCGAAGTGTCCAAGCACATCAATATCAATGAAGAGACGAAGAAGCCGCTGTTCTGTTTGTCACCGCCGATGCGTCACAAATCTCGACCCATCAGTGAAATTATACCAAATAATTCGTCGTCTACTAGCAGCACTGCAACTCAACCATCCTCTGGGTACCGGGGATCTTCTACGATTCTGACCGACTCCTCAACGAATCAGCAGATGTCGAACAACGCGGCAAACCCGTTGTATCTTTACCGTTACGATAGTATTAGTTCCGAGGCCAGTTTAGTGAGTAACGATAAGAAGGCGTACAAACAAGTCAGCAAATCTAAGACGATCTGCCCGTCTCTCCCAAAGAGATCCATTTCTTTACCGCATGGAGATCGCGAAGCTGACTTCTCTAATGGAAAAGTGCCACCGAGACCACCTTTACCTAGAAGTATTTTAAGAAAAAACAAGGTTCCTGCGAGCAAGAGGTACAGCATGTTCGAGATGGTGGATGTGGAAGAGATAGAGGATCAACAGCCTCCAGAGGCGAACAAGAGAATGTCCTTACAAGAACCATATTACATGAACAATGACTTACAGTTGTATCGTGGAAGAATCATCGACTCTGAGAAGGATGTCGACGAGATGGAAGAGAAATGCCATGAAAGGATGAATGATTTAAACAACGCTGGAGATATAGAGACTGAAGCTTCAGAGAATAGCGAGGACGACGTGAAACAGCTGGAGGAATACTTGAAACGCAGCGGATTCAGCTCGCAGAGCAGCGATGGAGATACCGAAGACCCTGATGTTAAATTAAGATCATATGTAAGAAAGTTCTTAGCTCTTCGAATGAACAAGGATGTTACCAAAACTACCGATATGCTAGAATCTCAGAAAAAGACTGTCAGCTTCGCTGTAAACCAAAGGAAGAAATACTTAGACAATAAGGTAGCTTATTAGGCTTAATGCTTTATCTTTAAAAACATTCAAAATTAACCTGATTTCTTTTCGTTCCAGACCAATAATTTAAATACGGTTCCAAACGAACAGACTAAAGATTGTACGCTTGCAGAAGAGAGGAGGGACACGAGTCCTGAAAATAGATCATTAGATTTAGACGACAAGAAAAGTAAATTATATGTTGACCATATTTACATTTACTGTTAGCGAAGTCATCAACTAATGTAGAGAATTTTTCAGAAATGATATTATCGGTGAACAAGGCGGTGGATTTATTGTTGAAATATTGGAATGGAGAGTCTATTCACAGTAGACAGAATTACGGTGATAAGAGCGAGTGTGCACAAATCTGTCTTAGTCACTTGTGCCCTGCTTTGTACGCCATCATGTCGGACGGACTGAAGCCACACTTAAATTCTACATTTGGACCAATAACGAATAGTGTTTGGCAGGTCGTCGAAGCATCTTCTCAGCAGGGACCAGTCACTAAAACGTTGAACGAACTAGTACAAAAAATTAACGGTGAGGACGTTATCACCGAGGGAATGTTAAAGTTTCATGCATTTGTATTTGGTTTATTAAAGTAAGTGAATATGCTAGACGAGTACGATCACGACCACTAGATTAATTAACGTTTTCTCATGTCATCAGTTTAAGAGCTCTAGACGCGTGGTTCGCGTACCTGTGCACGAGGGAATCAATCTTGAGGAAGCATTACAACAATAATAGCTTATTCGTAAGCGCTTTGGCAAATGCAAACGCGCGCGAGGTCGTCGACACTCTTCTGCACCGTCTAAACCCCCTAGCTTTCTGCCCATTTCAGTTGGACCTTCTGTATCAGTATCGTCAGCTTCACAATAGCTTTGGCAATTTAAATAATCATAATATAAGCGTAAGTACCGCGGCCAAATATTTCTTTATTACTTATATATCTTTAGCTAAAGCTTCGAACAACACATTTGCAGGCCGTAAACTTTAGGAACGTGGACATCGGTTCGAAGGACCACCATTTTGATAAGACAGACGTTTGCACAGTAGTTTCTAGTCCTAGGAAAGTACGTCCGAAATCCTGCGTCGCCTACAACAATTACGACGACAAATCTGGCCAGCATAAGTCAGATATGGAAACAGTTAAGAAACGTTTAAGCAATCCCATAGGTACGAAAGCGTTCCGGGCTCTAGACAAGCTGACTTCCGAGGATTCCGAGGACTACACCGACAGTTTGGAGCATTCACCATTGAATAGAGCGTCGAGCAAACACAATCACCCTGTGACTCGCACGAAATCTCGTAGTCCAGAGAATAATAGGGACGACGAGGACAACATGATCGGAGAAGCAAAATTCAGAAAGATTCAGGAGAAGTGGGAGTCGATGGTCGGAAAGGAGGAGGGTAAGAGCCAGCCCGTCACAACGTCGCCATCGTCGCCAACACGAACACCGACTAGTTTGGGGAAATCGAAAATCCCGAGGCTACTGACCTCCCCAGTAAAGCAATCGAATACAGTGCTCGCTAAAAATACAAAGTCCCCGGTCTCGGGTATCCCGTCGTTGAAGAAACCTGTAATGTTGACGACGCCGAAAACTGCACCAAAAAAGCCTATAGAGTTAAGAAACAAAGAGACAACAAAACGTACCAGTAGGGTGGACGAGGAGCATGTGGGAACAGCGCGGACCCACTTGGCGCGTCCCAGTTCTCTACCATACAAATCTTACGGTTTAGCGTCTAAGGAGAAGAACATGGTGTCCCCGCAAAGACGGGCAGCGTCTACGTCTTTGCCAAGACCAACCAGCACTGCTGCTGCTGCTGCGAGAAATCCTCCAGCAAAGAAGGCTATCAAGTAAGTATAACATTGAATTTCTACGTAAAATTATGAACAAGGTTTATTTTATACCTATTTTCAGTTTCATGAAAGTCTGAATTGTTCATGATTTTAGTTGCAGTCGCTGCGAACCACACCCCTTTCAGTTTCCAGATTGGTTTCTTAATCTTTTCGTTTCTTTCTCTGTTTTCGTTTTGTAGATATGTTAAATAACAGCTTGCGCATCTCGATTCCAGAGAGGTGCGCACTATCACACACAGAAACTCGTCGGACGACAAAATACTCCTCGCGTTCGGAGAAGGCGAGAAGCTCAGAGTGCTTCTAGAGGTGGATAGCAAGTGGTTATTATGCGCGAAAGGCGATCGGAAAGGTCTGGTTCCGCGGAGGTGTGTGTACAATATTCAGACTTAGCCCCACACCTAATGTCTGTGCCGGGGTAACGTTTAGTGCGACAAAAGTTTCAAAGACTTAAACGCAACCGCGGAGATAATATATTCAATGAGGCGAAGAATAAGGAGAAGAAATCGTGTACAGTGTATCAAAGGAAAGGCATAGAATTGTTTCTAAAGATATCATATAGTAATTGTTATTACTAGACCGCGGACTTTCATGTCAGCTCAGTATACTTTCAATGTTTTATTTCTTTTTATCAGAACGATTTTATTTCTTCATCAGAACGAATACGTGTTTAGAATTTTATTTTCCTGTCCTGCACAGTTACATTGAAGAGGCTTATGTCTTCGTTCGACTGCATTTCAATGAATCAATAATAGACGCTGCAGACGCATAAATTTCCGCAGTCTAGTTATTACTCATAATTGTTTGAATCGCTTCGACTTTATATCGGAAACTGCGAATAGTATTATATCACTCACAGAAACATCATCAGAGTATGAAAGAGAAAATAGGTATCGCTAGTCATAGGCTTTCAAACCAGATTATATTTAATGAAATTGAACATACACCTATTTATAACCAGAAATGTACATATATACAGTAAAAATATATGATAATAATTACGGTTGATAAAGACGGTAATGACATGTAATAACTTACGATTATTATGAATGTAACTGTGATCATAGTGTATAGGCGAGTAAGGTTTATCAACTGCGATCGTGCGGAGTGTAAAACGTCGAATTTTTTATTTTTACCGTTGTGACTTATATTTTTAGTCGAGTATCGATTCCGTACGTCGCATTGTGTTGTTTAACGACCGTCTCTCATTTTTTAATTTTATCTGGTGTATAAATTATTATCGTCGCGCGCTTGTGGTTTGCTAAAATCACATTTTTTTACTTGCTTCATGTATTCTTTCGTATGCGGAATAGCATACACAGTATAATCAAATAAAGTCTACAATTGTAATTGTAAATCGTTTTTGTATACTTCCCCTGCATCATAGTATACTTCCTGTAAGGCATCCTGTTTCTTTAGAATATAACAGTATTACGAATACACGTAGTGTGCAAAATAAATCACGTTGCAACTATATTGCCTGAACTCAAACTGAATCTCGATTGTTTTCGATATTTTCATTATTTTTTATCTCCTATTTTTCTTTAATTCCAACAGGTTCTTTGCTGACCTGTGCTCTTCAAAAAAATTCACTAGTTCCTTTATTATGCTGTTATCATACCCGAAATTCGTCTAAACGATAAAGTAGATTATATTACGTTTTTGCAAGCACCGCTATTTTCTTTTCTCTTTTATACTACGTAAAAGCCTACGATCGCCGCATTGATGATTTTCTACTATGAGGAACTTTCTTTCTTTACTCGGCATACCCTCTATACGAGCTATGAGAAAAAGAATTACGGGCTAAAATTAATACATTTTATTCAATTGCTTCTCTTAAAGTAACGATCTCGTACACCTGCGCCATATAAAACTTGTCAGGCCATCGTTACAAAAATTTTGAAAACGGTTACATCCAATGTGCGTAGGAACATTCTATTGCTATGATTCATATTTAACTATTAAACGATAATCGAGAAAATTCTGTTAATTTCTTTCTTTAATGCTCTTATCCGCTAAATTACATCTTACTAAAGTTTATGTACAATCTCTTTTTATTCCTGTTAGACTGGATGCAGACAGATATGTCTCATCAGTCTGCATTATAATACGGTACAATTAATTAAAAGAGGGTCCACAGTTGAACAAATAGTCTCATGAAAACAGTTACCATCTAATGAACTGCTAAGATTAACAACAGTGTCAGAAAGTAGATGTTGATACCAAATTATGCGTTATGTTATGCTTGTTATGAAACTGATCGTAGCATTGGAAGTATTTCATCACTTTAATGCTAAATTACAAAAAAGACATTCACCGTTTTTACAAACACGATTTTAACAAATTGTTGATCCTCCTATTATATAAAACAAAGCCAATTAGTACAATTAATTGCGGCGGAAAAATCAGTATGATTATTTTAGATGACAGAAGATGATGAAGAGCGTATCGTAATTTCTATTTTTTAATCAAAATCTTTAATTATATCTGCACCGACGATACCGATAAGAATTTTCATATGCTAAAAGTCACAAGTTACAATATTGATTTACATTAATATACAGTATATTATAAGTGACTGGAATGCCATTATGGTACTGTCAATATTAAAACCTAACTTTCATATTATACTGATGGGATATGATTCCTTTAAGAGACAAGCAATGTGGCATGATACGTTGTACGCATTGTCTATGATTTGTATATCTACCTATTTACAAGGAGTTTCAAAATACAGAATACCTCACCATTGCACTCTATGTGAATTTTATGATAGTATTAGTCTATACACTACTGATCATAAAATTGAAAAGCTGCTTTTTTTGTCCTCGTTTTATTACAAACAAACGTTTTATTTGTATCATCAGCCTCCGTTTCGACAGACTGACATTTTTCGTCAAATGCATCGTTTCCCTAACTTTTTACACAGAGACTTTTCTTTTTCTTTTTTCTTGTTTGCAACAATTAGCAATGATGAGATTAGGCTATCCTTATTACATGATTTTTACAAATAAAATTCTCAACATATACATCATATATATTTATATATAGTAGGAAATTAAAAAAGAAGAGAGATTTATAATGGAATTTCTTTAAAGAATGCAGCTGCCTGCCTTTTCGATATGTAAAAGTCCAAAAATCTGTTTTAAATCTAGATAATAGAAGGAGTTAACCCATGGTCGATTCAAATGTACAGAATCATCGTATGGTCGACTGTCTCGTTAAGGTAACTGTGTTAAATAAACTCTGTGCTCTATGATATCCCCGATCGCTTAACATTATTACAATTACGCTGTACCGTACGGTTGAATATTATACATAAAGATCTGTATCCTCTATAAAATAAACATAATACTATACAATCACCCATGGGTTAATCAACCATTCGTAACATCGTGTACTTTAAGATTAATAGTTACACGTTACCGATCCCAACGTGTCTTACGCAACTAGAAACGAACATATAAAGACGAAGAAGCTCTATTGTGTGCATGTACTTGTTACCCTTTTGGCACTGTTAAAGCCCATCATGTCAAAGACACAACAATCACCATCCTCTACTTGCTCCGATTACGATCGAGAGTCGAAATGTAATTAGGCCTCGTTTACGTTAATACAACATTTAATCCGCACAATTATTATCACAGCTTGTAGTGCAATTACACCGTTCTGAATGACGTTCAACTAATTTAGAGTCGTGAAGTTATTTTATGAAGCGTTCGCATAGGAAAAAGATACGGGAGGGAGCTCCTTATACATTTTTACTATGGCAGTCCTAATTGAAACAACTTGGAGCAAGTAGAAGATATATGTTTGAAAATTGACTCGGTAACACGATAATTTAAATAAACCTGGGTTATTTGAAACGTGCATCTTGAACGGCTATTGCTTTTCCTTCGTATCATTAAGATTCAACACAGAGTAAAGTGTTCTATCACATAGTTCCGAGTATTATTACCACAGGTTGACAATCGATTGAGATATTATTAAATACTTTGTAAACTTATCCAGTCTGGTTATGCAGTCTTTAATAGAAAAGAGTTGGAAGGACATTGAAAGTAAAGACAATGTATTATAAAATCTTGAATGTCCAAAAGGAGTATTGTCTGAATTGAAACCATTAGATTCGTCAACTCTTCAGCGAATATTCATTGGGATTTATATTATAAATAAATAAATGAAAGTGTGTTAGATCAAATGAACGTGAACGCGCGTTTCGAATCAAGAGCTTGGCGATTGTTTAGAGACGTTTATGTGAACTGTAGAACGTTGGTTCAAGCAAGATGCTCCGTTTCGTTAAATATTAATACATAAATAATATACAATAATTACGTATTCAAGGCCTTCCGTATCCAATGTATGTACACTGGATACAAGACTCGCTTCTCGTACGAACTAGAGAATTAGCATGTTCGAGAAAAACTGTGTACTTTCACAAATAAACTAGCATAATCGAAGCAAAATGTTAACAGGAAGACTGTTACTTCGCTCGATCAAATTTAATCCATGAACGTGAACGTGGCGTTAATTTTGATTATTTAATGCGTCTAACGTATGTATGTACAGGCTGATGCAATGACTATTACCACTTGAATGACTTAGAGGCAGTAAGAGTAGAAAAACAGACATAATTCAATAAAGATGTATCGTCCTCGGAAATTGTTTGAGCAAAGTATTCAATGAAGTTAAGTTCATGGAGAAAATCTTGTTCCGTGAAGTAAGCTAGTCGTCTTAAATATAGTATGTTACAAAAATGCAAAATAATCAGAGTTAGCTCATTTATTTCGTGCAAAGTCCTAATAAATTCCTCATGGCTTCCAATCAGTTAACTCGTCTGTTCCTACCAGGTACTTTGTATAAGGTTGTCAAGACATCTTTTTTATAACAATTCACATACGATACCACTCTACAGAATTATTGAAATTCACTTGGCTAGTGTTTCCATTTTTTTTTTCTTTGTTCATCTTGTTATCTCTGAACAATCATTGCATGGCTGCCTTACATCAATGAGGAATGTGATCGGCTCGTATTAAAAGAAGATACTTTTAGATCCAAATGTACTAGTAACAAATAAAAATCGTGATAGCGATTCGATAGCTGCGTAAGATTCATGTGTGTGAAACATATATATTTTAAAAGATTATGAAAGCTAGGAACCTTTGGCAATAAATTGTTTCTCACACCATTAATCCATAATTCACCTTATGATTCGATTCTCCGTTAATGAAGACAGCTATGAACATATAATAGCAACAAACTAAATACTTCGTACATAACACTGGTCACAAAACGTGATGTTAATGATTTTTATGATAGCATTCTAAATCTGAATGATATATGTTAAACGAAACAAGTTCTTAAATTTAATTTTACATATAAAATTCTTATCAAGAAAGGTAGAAGTCGATAGAAAAGCAGAGAAAAATGATCACAAAACCACACGCAAATATTTGAACATTCCTCATTGATGTGATACGTAAAAATATTTTATGATACAGAAAATGGTTGTGCAATGTAACTAAAGCTATAATACACATAGATCGACTACATACTAGATTCCTTAGTGGTGATAGTCTCGTTGGTATTATCAACTCTTATTAACGTCGACGAATTTAAAACAAGCGTCCTACTCAATGTAGCAACTCTTTCCATTACACAAGAAGCTGAAAGACGCGCTTCAGCATCGTGATCCCAACACTCTTCCATTGTATCACATATTGATTGAAGTCCCTAAGATAGTGTATTTATACACTTTGATTAATTTTGCCTTCAAACAATATAATGTATTGTATCATAGAATGTTATATGAAAGAATTTACTTACAGCATGTTTGCGCCACGTTTCTAAAATAAGTGGCCTTTCTTTCTTGTGCACAACACTTTCTTGCATGTCCTCTAACGTTGGATGAAGCCCCACTTCATCCTCGAATGGTAATCTATACTCTCCAATTGGTCCCTAATGAACAAACGAACAAATAATGTAACAAATTAATGGTATAAATATAATGAATAAAAGGAATTTGATAAACAAAAATTTACATCTTGTACGGTGCATCGAGAAGCTAATTCCCAGAGCACAAGACCGCAAGCATACATATCGATCCGTAAAAATGAGTCCCTCGTAAAATTAATTGCACCTTCCAATACTTCTGGTGCCATGTACCTCCTTGTTCCAACCTGCAGGCGATAATAACAAGTATATTAACAAAAATATTAAGATTCAACTATCAGATTCATTCACATACCTGTCCATGTGTATCGCCACAGGGCTTTCCAGGATGGAATATCAGTGCCAGGCCAAAATCTGCTATGCAGGCACTCATATTGGCTTTCAGCAAAACGTTCTTCGACTTAAAATCTCTATGAGCCACAGCAGGTTTATAACCGTTTGCTTTGTTGGCTGGTATCTCTTCGTGTAGGTGCATCAGACCTCTGGTACAAACAAAATCCTCGGGATAGCAGATATTCGTAAAGCATTCATGATATACATATATTCGATAATAAATACCTTGCCATAGATTCTGCTATTCTACACATTTCAGGCCACGTGACGACATTTGCTTTCAAATAGTCGCACAGCGAACCTTTCTCATGATAGGCAGTGATCAACCAGAATTCCGTTTGCAAATTGTCCCCCCTCTTCTCGACGCCTATAAAACGTAATATATCTTCGTGATCCATGTGCGCAAGCTTGAAGATCTCTTGCTCGGTTTGCCAAGACTGTTTGTCCTGTATAGGGAACACCTTGACAGCAACAATCTCGTTTTTCAGTTGTGCCTTCCAGACTGCTCCGAAACGGCCGCGAGCTTTGATCTCCAGAAGTTGGATCGGCCGCAATCCTAAGTTGGGAGATGGCTGTGGCAGCGGAAGAGGTTCCAACGTCGGTACCTGTTAAATCAATTTTGTGTTAGTATTGTATACTAATCGAAGTTGGTAGTACCACACCAAAACAAAACAATAACGTTTAGTAATTTGATATTATGTACATATGTCTTCCAAACCTCGTTGAAATATCCCAACTTCCTACGTCGGTAGCACCAATACAAAAATGGTAAAATAATAGCAAGAAGGAACATGGGTATGGATACTGATAAGACAAGTGTAATTATTTGTTGTTCTGTGTTTGGAACGGGTTCTGATTCTGAAACATAATCATATTTAACAATCAAGAATACACAGTACAATTTATTCTAGAAGAACTCTATTTATCTTATTACTAACAAACTATTATTTCAACACGGACGGATGCAATTGATTTCACTTATTCAAATAAGATCCGTCTTCTTTCACAATAAATTTGGATAAATAGAGTTCTATGATTCTCAAAGCAGATGCATACCATGAATAACATAAGGTTGGATAGGTTTGGAGGAGGATGTGGGGTGGGGATCCCATGTAAAATTCTGGTTACACATATTGCCATCGCAACAACAGAAAAATAACTCCTTTTTCCTCTCTGCACTGTTCTCGATACAGTGTGGCCTGTCATAGCAGTCATTACTATCCAGAAAACATCCCTGCAATATGTAATAGTATTAGTCCCAATTTCAGAGCAATTAAAAACAAAATAAACATTATTGTACCTTTAATTTAATTATAGATTTTTTCGTGACATTATCAATTTGCCACAATACATAACAATGATTTCTTTTTCCTGGGTCATGTGGACCACACTCCTCCCTTCCCGAACACTCCTGCTGGGACTCCGTGCATAGTGTTTCGTTATAAAATTCACATACCGAAGAACCTTTGACATCATGCCCTAAAGTAGGTCCTAAAAATTATAATTCCTTATCAAGAATGTTGGAAAATAACAAGTGTATACATTTTAAACGGACTGTAGACGTTTATACAAATACAGATCTCTACAAATTAATTTATGAAAATTACAAATAAGAACAAATTTGTTCCCTCCGTTCAGGGTTCTATAATGTTCCAAAAAACCTGCAAGTGCAATTTACGAAGCAGTTTAAACAAATATTTTTCAAGTTTCTCTGCCCACTATATACATCTCGTCTCTTAAATAAACAAATAAATTCCAAAAGACATGTTACTATTATTCGAGCAATGCAAACAAGACGCGTTATTTCGATCGCAATGGTTCCCGTTTGATTACAAAACAAACTGTCACTTCGGCAGAAAATCGACTTTCGTCGTTGCGTTTGTAAACAGAGAGATACTTGAGTGATCGGTCCACGAAGTGGCAGAGATTCAACGATGGTTTGCAACATATTCGACGAGGAAACAGCATACCGCGATCACCGAGACAGGATTTCGCGTCGGAGCGTGTAATTTGCGTCGCGGATACGAACGTTCAACAGGGGAGATAATGGTGCATACGATTACCTAACAATCCTAGGATGAGATATGGCAGTATGGTCGCATATGCGGGCATCGTGAACAGCTCGCGAAAAGCATACCAGACGAATTATTTTTCAAAGTTTAGGCGCACAGTGCTCGCAGAGAAATGTGGCTAGAGCGCCGGACTTTGGTGCGCAAGGTCCGGGGTCCCCGTTTAGCCGTCACATCTGGCTTATTTTCTACGTGATCCGCACCATCGCGTGTTCCTGCTCTGCTTCTCTTCACGGCCCCGTGTTCCTCGAACACAGACCGCCCAGCCAGAAATCAACACCAGAACGCTAACAGAGGAAAAAATCGAATCGCGAACAGTCTATTAGCTATTAAGCAAATTGTAGTAATTCATCCACCGACACATCTCTCTTCCTCTCCCCCTCCCACGTATCTGCATGAACGCGGACACCATGGATTTATGACATTTCTCACTATTCGATCGTTACGATTACGATCACTTTGAAACGGCCACGAGTACGTAGACGAACGATCGATCGAGTACGTACACAAGCACGATAAGACGAGTCACGATCGGATTGATAAAAGTCTGCGAAATTCCGCGGATTCACGAATGTACGTGCCAGACGCACGGCAAGATGGATCATAAACTAATGGATCATGATAGAACGACCGCGAACATGCGTAACTGATAACGTCACGTTTGCACCTCGCGATGCTCGAAGGTGGCGTAAACTGTCGAATAACGTTGGATTTCTCTATCATGTATTCTGCTCATCTATTTATAGGAGCACTAAAATAAAAAAAGAACAAACAAAATTGTATATGTAGAGCTTTTCTAAGTGAATATTTAGTAATCTAGACATCCTTCTGGCGCGTTTAGTTTCGATCACGCCGTTAGGGGTGTTGCGAAACGATCTATTAAAATTATTAGAGATGCTAATCTATCTACTGTAAATCAGAATTCTTTTTTTAGTGACATATAAGGACGTTTTTATTAACTGTGTCATGTTTACGGACTAAACGCCTGAGGATAGATCACGATTTCTATTCGAACAGTTCAAGGATGAATACGCACTGAAAACGAGTTTTTGAAGACTGCTAGAATTTCGTTTTTGGGGTGTCTGATGGCGTCTGAAGTCTGAACATTCATCTTATCGACTCTATTCTGCTTCGTAATTTGACCACTTGTAGATAGAGCGCGCGCAAGTAGTAGAACTGTGGCGGTTAATTTGAATCGAATTACTTCAAAGTTCTAACTCTAGAAATTGCAGCTGGTTTCATCGGTAAGGTTATACTAACATACCTTGCAGCATATGCTGCATTACTTGTATCTTTGAGTTATTTCTCATATATTGTAATCGCTGGCGGATCAAGAATTCACAAAAAATTATCTTCCGTTTATGTATCTTAATTCGCCCTCTTGCGGGGACTGCCACAAACATTTGAACCACACATTTACCGATGCGGACACATGAACAGAAGATCCTATTACACAATGTACACATAGGTCAATACATATATGAATGGATTATGACAGTGTAAAGCCTACACCTTTACACCATACCCTGAGCTGAGTGGCAGTGAAAAGCACTACATGAACTGAACAAATCGATCAGTTGTGATTGTGATTCCATTCCATGTTCAGCGGTGATTCTTCGTAATTTGTTGGTTAGTGGTCATCGCGAGATTCGTGCTGCATTTGAATTGCATTCGGGAGAGTGGTGTGGTTGGTGAATAGCGAACGGTACCGCGAGAGGCTATCTTCTTTTAACCACAGACAGCCAAAAAGTGACCACGACGTCGATGACTCTGTCGAGAGGAAAAAGGCCGTGGTAACACGTTCCTCCTCGCGTCCAGGTTTTGAGGTTAGTCGAGGGAAAGTGGTGGTATTCAGATAACATTGTTGCGGCCGGTCCGTTTCATTTGCGGGAAGTGTCACCACGGCTGTGAGATTCTGTTTCTCTTCGTTAGAGGTTTCTTTAAATGACAAGCAGTCATGGCAACGTGTGGGTCCGATAGAAAACCGAGAGTCGTAGTTTTAGGAGGTGAGTATGGTTTCATTCGTTGTACGATAGCATGACGGAAGCGATAAACAGAAATGTGAAGAAAAGTATTATTATCGTTGGAACAGGATGCGGTTTCATAGGGCGTAATCTTGTCGAGTATCTGTTGGATAATGATCTCGCTTCGTTCGTCCGTGTCGTGGACAAAGTGCCGCCGCAGACTGCTTGGCTCAATGCTAAACACCAGCTAATATTCGAGCATCCTTCGCTCGAGTTCAAGAGCGCCAACTTAATTAACGCAGGTAACAGAGAATGAAAGATGTCCCCGAATTGTCAAGCGGAATAGTTTCTCTTGAATAGAAAGATCCACGGTATTTTTATTTAATTCCGTAAGATCCCGGCGTCGTTGTCTGAACGCGTATTTATCATGTATTTTCGAATTGTTTACAGCGTCTTGTCAAAATGCATTCGCATCCGACGATCGGTTCGATTATGTGATTAATTGCGCTGGGGAGACAAAGAGCGGTCAGACGGATCCCGTCTACAAAGAGGGGATCTATAAGCTTAGCATGAACTGTGCTCAGCAAGCAGCCAAATTGCAAGTTGATCGATACATAGAGATATCTTCTGGTAATTTTAACGCTTCCGAGAAGGTATGCAATTTTTTAGTTTGAATCTGATTATTGAAACATAAAATGTATAAATCTACAGAAATGTTTTTTTTTTTAGAATCCTCATAAGGAAGATGAAATTGGTGAGCCTTGGACGTATGTTGCAAAATACAAGTTGCAAGTAGAAAATGATTTAAAGAACATACCAAATTTAAAGTATACAGTACTTAGACCAGCTATTGTGTACGGTTGTGGAGACAAAACTGGTTTAGGTAATAGAATATCTAGTTTTTCTATTAAAATTATGATATTTTAAGCTTATGGTACATCTTTCTTTTTAGCACCACGTTTGGTAGTGGGGGCAGTTTACAAACATTTAGGAGAGATGATGAAATTACTTTGGGGACCAGATCTTCACATGAACACAGTTCATGTAAGAGATGTAGCTAGAGCTATCTGGCATATAGCAAACAGACCAGATACATTGGGTCAAACATACAATGTTGTTGATGAAGGTGATTCTACTCAGGGATCGATCAGCGCTATTGTTTCCGAGTTGTTTAACATCAATCATGATTATTGGGGTACTACATTGTCTACATTAGCCAAAGTAAGAATGAAACTCTACTGTTTCGAGTGTTAAAGATGTCTTGTTGTTAATACAATTAACCTTCGTTTCTTTTATTATGAATTCTAGACTGATATGAGCTCTGTAGTGGAGGAAGTGAATGACAAACATATGGGACCTTGGGCAGAAGCTTGCAATAAGGATGGCGTGGAAAATAGTCCACTGTCCCCATACATAGATCAAGAACTTCTCTACAACAAACATTTGTATCTACAGCCAGGAAAGCTGTTAAACACTGGGTTTACTTATATGTATCCCAAACTCACAAAGAATGCTTTGAAAGAGGTACACAATTGTAATTTCATAATTTCTGAAGATTTGGTTACATTAATTTATTTTTCTTTAGGTTCTTGAAGATTACGTGAACATGAAGATATTTCCACATTCATTGGTCTTATGAAATGTAGCAATGCAGACTGCCAAGATCAATTATTGAAACAGCTTACAATGACTTGTATAAAGAACTTTTTGGAGCGTTTCACCTTGTGCCTAGTAATCTATGCAAGTTACGTACTTTATTGTATGTTATACATTTTACTCATATTTTACCCGCTAACGAATACTGTTAGTCAAGTTTATATAGAGTATACAAGATGGAATACGAAGATTTCATATAATAAGCCTATCTGCAAATGTGATAAACTAGGAATTAATGTACTTAATTTTATCATAGTTTGAGCTATGAAATTTTTGCACGTTAAGGTTGCTAGTCAAGTTTTGACACGAATATAAAGAGTAACGTGAAGTTGAAAAAATGCTGAAGTGCGGACAAGATACTAGAGATATTTACATGCCTAAACTTAATGTATTATAGCATGTAGAAATTGTTTGGATAAATATTTTAGAGAATTATGTACATCGTAAAAAATGCTTTTTATATTGCATTTCTCCAAGACTGGCAAAATAATTATAATTGTTAAAAAAAAAGAGGGAGAAACTAATGAGATTCATGTAGAAAGTTAGGAGGGAATTTTTTGTTTTTACATCCACTGCATTCCAATATAGATCTTCCATTGAGCTGTGACTCGAGACTTCAGAAATCTTTTTATTCCAAGCAAATAACGGTTTCGTAAGTTTAGAAATATTAGATACATTCGAATTATATAATGTATTAAATCAAGTACAAATAATATTACTTAAGCTAGAAAAATATTTCTAAAACGCCAAACGTACGAAAATTGAGTGGGTTTATTACACGAAAAGGTAAACCTAATTTTGCATCAGATTGTATAACAAAATAAATGCATAGGCTAACGGCACTAACTGCCAATTAAGATTAATAGTATTACTCTTTTGAAACAATTGTTATTAATCCTTTGATAATAAAGTTATTCATTTATGCAATTTAATCTTGCGTTTTCATTGTACCTCTTATCTAATTCCGAGAATTGTATTTATTAGGAATAGGAGATTATCTCTTGTCTTTTCTTTTTGTAAGACAAGTAACATCGATACACTATCTTAATTTTATTCAATCATTGGTTACAACAAGATACTGCGCTCAGAAGGGTCAACAATATCATTAAATATTTCGTGTATCGTTTTAATTCAAATACTTTAAACAATAAGATTATAATTTGATGTAGTTCATTATACATAATATATTAAAATATATACTTTTAATATTTTCTGCGGATAATATATATACAGTCGTAGAGTAAAAATATTTACAAAGTAGCTGCACC